TCTACCTGTCTATCTGTCTATCTGTCTAGCTGTCTATCTGTCTATCTGTCTTTCTGTCTATCTGTCTATCTGTCTACCTGTCTATCTGTGGTGCAGTGTCATTCAGTGTATTGTAGTGTAGTGTAATGTAGTGTAGTGTAGTGGGGTGTAGTGGAATGTAGTGTAGTGTAGTGTAATGTAGTGTAGTGTAGTGTAATTTCGTGTAGTGGAGTGTGTTGTGTAGTCGTAGTTGTAGTTGTAGTGTAGTGTAGTGTAGTGTAATGTAGTGAAGTGTAGTGGAAGGTAGTGTAGTGTAATGTAGTGTAGCGTAGTGGAGTGTAGTGTAGTGTAGTGGAGTGTAGTGTAGGGTAATGTAGTGTAGTGTAGTGTGATTTAGTGTAGTGTAATTTAGTGTAGTGGAGTGTAGTTGTGTAGTTGTAGTTGTAGTGTTGTGGAGCGTAGTGTAGTGTAATGTAGTGTAGTGGAGTTTAGTGTAATTTAATGTAGTGTAGTGTAGTGGAGCGTAGTGTAGTGTAACGTAGTGTAGTGAAATTTAATGTAGTGGAGTGTAGTCTAGTTGTGTAGTTGTAGTTGTAGTGTTGTGGAGTGTAGTGTAGTGTAATGTAGTGTAGTATAGTGGAGTGTGGTGTAATGTAACGTAGTGTAGTGTAGTGAAGCGAAGCGGCGAAGCGACATCTGAACCTCCAAAAGTGGACCGATCCCCTAGTGCTTTGTACATTTTCACTTCGAAATGTGCTTCTCGCCACAACGGCGTGCACTTTTTCGACATCTGAACCTCCAAAAGTGGCGCGAACATGTGGTGTTTTGTACATTTTGACTTCGAAACGTGCTTCGCGCCACAATGGCGTGCACTTTTTCGACATCGCAACTTTCAAAAGTGGTCCGAGACCGCCAGTTTTTAACACTTTTGACTTCGAAATGCGCTTCGCGCCACAAAGGCGTGCACTTTTTTGACATCTCAACTTCCAAAAGTGGTCCGAGAATGGTGTGTTTTGTACATTTTGACTTGGAAATGTGCTTCGCGCCACAACGGCGTGCAATTTTTCATCGCTCCTCTGGCCAGCTGGCTCCGCACCCGCCGCTTTAGCGAGCCTACTTTTCGACCCTCCGGAGCCACAAATCATTTGTTTCGCGACTTTCCTACCTTTTCGCGCATCTGTATCTTCTGTCTTCTTACTCTTTCTCTTCTGATCTTCTCTCTGCTAGTCTTCCTCTTCTCTCTGCCTCTGCCCTGTTCTGCTTTTCATCTCTCCATATTGTCGGAAGTTTGACTTCTAAACTTCCTTCGAATATATATATATATAGGTCGACAGATAGATAGACAACTGCAACTGCACTACACCACACTACAACTAGAACAACAACTGCAACTGCAACTACAACTACACTACCAGTACAAGTACAACTTCAACTACACTTGAACTACAAGAACTACAGCTACGACCACAACTACAGGTTCAACTACACTTCAACTACAACTACAACCTCAACTACCATTACTACAGCTACAATTACAAGTGCCACTACAAGTACAACTGCAGTAGAGCTACAGCTGCAACAGCTACTACAACTACAACTGCAACTGCAACTACAGCTGCAGCTACATCTACGACTACAACTCAGCTTCACTACAACTACACTTCAACTACAAAGCTCAACGTCAACTTCAACCACACTACTACAACAACAATTACTACGACACTACAACCACAACTACGACTACAACCCACAACTACAACTACAACATTACAACTTCAACAACATCACCCCCACTACAACTACAACTGCAACTACAACTACTGCACTACACCACACTACATCCAGGAGTTGTGAGTGAGGTGACCACTGCAACCATTGCAACCAGTCCAAAAAGCACAGCTCCAACCACCTTTTGGTCCATCAGTGGGTTCGCTCTACCATCCATGCATCACAACAACTCACCTCTCCTATAGTGTCCTGTCCCTGAAACTTCCGCCACCGCCTTGCGTGGTACTCCTGGTACTGGGAAGTGCCGTGTGCAAGCTTTGCAGTACAAAGTAGTACTGGGAAGTACTTGTGCAAGCTTTGCAGTACAAAGTAATAGAAGCTTTGTAGTACAAAATCGTACTGGGAATTACTTTGTGCAAGCTGTGTGAAGCTTGTAGTACAAAGTAGTACTGGAAGGTGTTTCGTTCAAGCTGTACAGTATTAAGTGGTACTGGCAGGTTGCTTTTGCTAGGTTTGTACTACAGAGTAGTGCTGGGAAGTGCCTCGTGCAACCTTTTTAGCGCAAAGTAGTACTGAAAGGTATTTCGTGCAAGGTTTGTAGTACAAAGTTGTGCTGGGAGGTGCCTTTGTGCAAGGTTTGTAGTACAAAGTAGTACTGGGAAGTACTTTGAATTTGTAGAAGTGTTGCAGTACAAAGTAGTACTGGGAGGTACTTTGTGGAAGTTTTGTAGTACAAAGAAGTACTGGGAAGGTCCTTGTGGAAGCTTTGTAGTACAGAGTAGCACTGGGAAGTACTTTGTGCAAGAATTGGCTGGGAGGTACTGCGCGCAAGGTTTGTAGTACAAAGTAGTACTGAAAGGTAATGCTGGGAAGTGCCTTGTGCAAGCTTTGCAGTACAAAGTAGTACTGGGAGGTGCTTTGTGCAGGCTTTGTAGTACAAAGTAGTATTTGGAAGTTCCTTGTGGAAGCTTTGTAGTGCAGAGTAGTACTGGGAAGTACTTTGTGCAAGATTTCCAGTACAAAGTAGCACTGGGAGGAAGCTTTGTAGTACAAAGTAGTACTGGGAATACTTTGTGCAAGAGATTTGCAATACAAAGTGGTACTGTGAGGTGCTGTGTGGACACATTGTAGTGCCAAGCAATATTTCGTGCAAGGGTTTGTAGTACAAAGTATTACTGGGAAGTACCTTGTGCAAGCTTTGTAGTACCAAGTAGTACTGGGAAGTATTTTTTGCAAGCGTTGCAGTACAAAGTAGTACTGGGAGGTACTTTGTGGAAGCTTTGCAGTAGAAAGTAGTACTGGAAGTGCCTTTTCTGTAAAAAGTAGTAAAGTAAAAGTGTGAAGTGTGTAGTGTGGAGTATTGAGTGTGAAGTGTGAAGCATGAAGTGGAGTGTGAAGTGTTGAGTGGGACGTGTGAAGTGCGAAGTGTGGAGTGTGGAGCGTGAATTGTTGAGTGTCAAGTGTGAAGTGTGAAGTGTGGATGGAGTGTGGAGTGTGTAGTGTTGAGTGTGAAGTGTGAAGTGGAGTGCGAAGTGTTGAGTGGGAAGTGTGGAGTGTGAAGTGTGGAGTGTGGAGTGTGAAGTGTGGAGTGTGGAGTGATGAATGTGAAGTGTGGAGTGTGGAGTGTTGAGTGTGAAGAGTGAAGTGTGGAGTGTTGAGTGTGAAGAGTGGAGTGTGGAGTGTGAAGTGTGGAGTGGGAAGTGTGGAGTGCGAAGTGTGGAGTGGGAAGTGTGAAGTGTGGAGTGTGGAGTCTGGAGTGCGAAGTAGTAGTGGAAAGTGCCTTGAGCAAACTTTGCAATACAAAGTAGTATTGGGAATTGCTTGGTGCAAGCTTTTGTAAAAAATTGTATTGGGAAGTAATTTGTGGAAGTTTTGTTGTATAATAGTATAAAGTAGTATTGGGAAGTACGTTGTGGAAGCTTTGTAGTGTCAAGCAAGAGTGTCCCACAAGAATGCCAAACGAAATTGTCAAGCAAGAGTGTCCCAGAAAGAGTGTCAAGCAAGACTCTTTTGCAAGAGTGTCCTGCATGAGTATTCAGCAAAAGTGTCAAGCAAGAGTGTCCGACAAGAGTGTTTTACAAGAGTGTTTCAGAGTATTGAGAGAGTGTCAAGCCAGCGTGTCAAGCAAGAGTGTCCCAAAAAATTGTCCGAGTGAGTGTTTTACAAGAGTGTCGAGCAAGAGTGTCAGGCAAGAGTGTCTCACAAAAGTGTCCCATAAAAGTGTCCCACAAGAGTGCCCCACAATAGTATGCCAAAAACGTGTCAAGCAAGCGTGTCCCACACCGAGTGTCCGAGAAGAGTGTCAAACCAGAGCGTTCTGCAAGAGTGGCTTTTAATGCGATCGAGCATCTCCTGCTCACTTGTCTTTGTTCTGTAGGAACCATTCTTTTACGTGAATTTTCAAAAAATGCATTCGGGTTCTTGGATCTTTCGGGTTTTTTAAAACCGTGCGTTTGTTGATGATGTTCATTTGATGCAATGATGCGCTTGTAATTGCATCATGGCGCAATCGCGTTTGCTCCCATGCTTAAGCCTTAAGCGAGTTGCGGCGCAGCCTTACTGCAGAATGACGTGCCACTTCGTATTTTGCAGCAAACGGTGTGATAGTCATCATATTGTTCCATTCCCCCTTCGTGTCTTGCATTGTTTTTGCGACGTGGCAAACTATGGAAATGGGCAGAATTGAGGTCTTTTTATCCAAGGAAGGGTTGTTATGACAACCGCCGTCGCATGGTTAGCTAGAGACATGCTACCAAAACAAGCGGAGCGCTCACGACTCCTATTTTTGTCTGTGACGAGTGGTGCAGTCTCTGTACAAACCACTCACCCAGAGAGACTTGCCAGCCGACATTCTGTCAGCGGCATATCCCCCCGGGTGGGTGGGAGGGCCAACAATCAAAATGGGCAAAGACTTGAGCCCAAAATGACAGTAGCAAAACACGCTAACCCTCCGTTCTAGTGAACATCCAAGTTAGCTAGAGACATGCTACCAAAACAAGCGGAGCGCTCACGACTCCTATTTTTGTCTGTGACGAGTGGTGCAGTCTCTGTACAAACCACTCACCCAGAGAGACTTGCCAGCCGACATTCTGTCAGCGGCATATCCCCCCGAAATAGGCATGGGCATCCGCCAAATAAAAATCTACAATGGACATGCAAAAGAAACCCACATGGTATCGACCGTGAAACAAAGAATCAAGGCTGCCTCAGACATTCCCCGGCTCTCAGTAGGCAACCTGTACGTTGAAGCCTCCATGGAACACGGATGAATGCAGAATTGCCACGGCAAAGTCTCACTGGTTCCACTGTCGATCCTGATGGTTTCCATAGTCATAGCTGGACCAGCCATCTTGGTTGCTGCCTCGTTGCCCATCTCTGGTCCAGTTGCCCCAGTCGTCATCGTCTGCGGCATTTGCATCTCTCCGTTGTGTGACATCTGGTTGATGCCATTGCCACTCACTGCTGCGTCTCGCTTGCCAGTCGTGCCATTGACTTCCTGCTTCCCAGTTGGCCGTGCTTTCAGCTTCAGCCTGGTTGGATGCAGCAGCTGGAGCAGCTGACTGGCGAGGTGGTGGAGTGCTGCGTGATCTATCGGATCGATAGTTGGCCTTTATAGCTTTTCGGCGGGCCCGCTCCTTGTTCTTCTCTTCGAGGAAACCCGGCTTCAGGACTTGCTTGGAATACCCATGTGACCAGGATTTCGGGAAATCCTCAAAGGAGGCACCCTCCATTTCAGCCAAGGCTCGCTGATGTCGGGCGGCCCGTTGCCGGCCCTTTTGGCGTTGTTTGGCCTCCGCATAGGTGAAGCCATCCTCGAGATCCTTCTCGAATTTGCCTGGGTGCATTTCGGGCAGTGGACGAGTGCTGAACTCAAAGTTGAGCTCCTCCAGTTTGCTCTTGCACCGCTTCCAGGCTTGGGAGCGAAGCGTCTTCCTCATCTCTGGGGGTGCTCGCAGGAAAGCTTCCACTTTCGTCTTGGTCTTCTCGAGCAGCTCCTCATCTTCTGCCTTCTCCTCAGGGGTTCGATCATCGTCATCACCATAGTCGACTTCAGACTCGTCAAACCCAAGGTGGTTCACCTCAGTGGGCGGAGCGCCCTCAGAAGATGATGCTGTTGCGCCTGAACCGAGTCCTATAGCTCTTGCCGGCATGGCATAGTTGGCTGCTGGCAGTGGCGGAGGGGGCTTCTTTGGTGCTGGTGTCTTCTGCATCAGCACTGGAGGAACTGGTTTGGGGGCTAGGGCTTTCGGCGGCTCCTTTGGCTCAGGTACCTGTTCTGGATGAGCTGGCTTTGGAAGTGGCGGCGGAGCCACCTTTGGGGGAGCCGAAAGCATGGGAGGCTTAGGAGGTGGTGGCTTCTTGAATTCGACACCTTTCGTCCCTGCCATTAGCCATGCTTTTGCGCTGGGATGCATTTTTAGAAGCCCCGGATGGTCTCCCAAACATGCCTCCCGGACCTCTTTTGGGACAGAAGTCATAGGTGGAGCACCTTCAATCAGCATCTTGGCCCGTCCTCTGTTCACGAAATCCATGAACTGGAGCAGTCCTTGCATCACGGCTTGATCGAAGGTTTGGAAGACTTGCTCAGACCCGGTCCCCTCCTCAGGGAGCTCTTCCCATGCCGGCTCGTCCCAATCTTCTTCATCGAATTGGTGGTCTTGGAGGATGTCCATGTCATCGTCTTCAGCTTCCACCTCAACATACACATAGTCATCCTCGTTGTCTGGGACGGTGCTCTCCGGTGGAAGGTCATCTTCGACCCAAGGCTCAGACCGGGGCTCCAACCAGCTCGAAGGGGCCCTATATCTGGATGACGTCTCTGACCACCAAGACTCAGACGGAGCGTCTGATCGTTTCACCCCTACATCTGCCAGTGCGATGCGAGGAACTCGCAAATCGTCCACCATGCCCCCTCCAGTGTATGGTTGGGTCGCCCTGGGGAAATGCTTGGCCGGTGTTGGCGGTGCTCCCTTTGGAATAGCTTGCGTGGGTGCCATTTTTTGCATTGGTGGGGTGGTAGGTCCTCTGGGCCTCCCATCATCATTTCTTGGTGGCGGTGCTTTCCTTGGCTTCGCACTTGAGCTCGGAGTAGGCGGATTCGCGGGCGGTGGAGGTTTCCTTGGCTTTTGCGCGGTCCCTGCTGGAGCAGGAGGGGCTTTGGCTGGGGGCGGTCCTCCTTGCGCTCCTCCTCCAGGATATCCCTGTGAAGGGGGGGCGGTTTACGAGGCACCTCCCGGCCTGCTCCTCCCGAGCTGCTGGCTCCTGCGCCGGACCGATCAAAACTTGATCTGGCTTGTTGGAATGATGAAGCTTGCTTGGCATAGACACCAGCTGGAACAACTGGGGAACGGCCTCGCCCATGCTTTGCAGCAATTTGCTCTTGTCTCCACCTCATGTATTGAGTGGCCATCAGTGGATCCAAGAGGATCTCTCGGACCATTCCCAACATCTTAAACTCCTCTCCTTTGGCTTTCTGGACATCTTCCCCAGCAGTTGCAAAGCGGTCTGGATGAGTCTCACGGGACCTGCGACGATATGCGGTGAGCACCTGAGCTGGAGTCGCACCGGGTGGAACACCCAGGAATTGATAAAGATCTAGTCCTGGGTGAGCTGCTACAAAGAGGTTCGCTGCATTGGCTCGATCTGGAGCTGCTGGCTTTCGTCCCCCATCGGCACTTTCATCAGTAGCATCCATAGCACCAGCCTTCACTGCAAACGATACCTTACGGTCTGGTGCCCACGAAAATGCACGATTGGTGTTTGAGCCTCGAGGAGCTCTGGATGTTCGCTTCGTGGCAACTGGGCTGCTAAAAGGGTTTGATCCTCCATGACTGTTATGGAATAACTCATCTTGAGGGACCCCCAATAAACCAGGATAGGACTCTTGGGGTTCAGTTGGAACAACCGCTGGATGCCTACGGACCCCGGGGTCTTTTTGGCTGGGGAGTGTAATGAGGCTGGTACCCAACATCCCTTCTGAAATCCCTTTCTGAGCGGTATGATCTTCATAAAGGTAAGCATGAACAGCATCGGATGACCAACCACCGTACCTCTTAAGCCTTTCTAAGTCCCCAGTACTTGCGAAAAATGCAGTGGCTCCCCCCTTACGTAGTGAGTGTGAACCAGCGAGTTCGCCAGGAACCCCGGCGGCCAATGCAGCTATCTTGATGAAATGGGTGATGCCCTCTCTGTCAAGCCCCGTCCCGTCTTCATAGCGGAACAAAGGCGCCTCGTCTTCAGGGCTGCGCCACCGATGGGGCTGTAGGACCTGTAGCGCGGCTAAGGCTTCAACAGGGCAGAGATCTCCACCGGAGCGGTGGTGTGACCGTGTTTGGCCCCTACCATACTGATCGGTTTTTGAAGATCTAATCTGCACTACGACTTCATCGGCCTTGGCGCCTATGGTAGGCTGCCCATGCGAAAAGAAAGCAACATCAGCTGGGCGGAGCGCCCTATTCATGGGGTCTTCTCCATTGGTACTGGGCAAGAGTTCACTGGCCCGCATCATGAAAAACCAACCTGTAAGAAGGGCTCCTTTGATCATGGTTTGATCGACAACTGATAAACCGCTACTTTTCAAGTGCTGGACCAACCATCGCAACATGTTGGGGGTAACAGGGAGCTTTCGTTTTGGGGCGCCTTCCCAACGTTGTAGACCCGCAACCGCTGCCCACAACCGAGGTCGCCCGACCAGTGGATCAGGGTATCCTGCCGCAACATGTGCATAACGAATGGCTGACAACCTTTGTCTGACCCCACCTATGGACCTTCCCATGACTTGATGTAGAAATACTACAAACCGAATCAACCTCTGCTCGTCTTCAGTCCGAGCGGAGCGCTCTTCTCCGTCAAGGAACGGGTGAGTGCCCGAGCTGGCATTGTACAACGCCCATTGCTTCCAGCCTGATGCATAGACCCTGCGAGTTGAATCAGCCAGTTTGGCCAAGACAGCTTCCATGGCTACCTGGTCAAGCTCTGCTGTGCTCCCTCCTCGGGGGCGGGGGGTCCCAGTAGTCCCGCCTCTTTTGGATGCGGGCTGGACCAGCCTCTCCACTTCACTGAGTGCTGGCTTCACGGTGGTGCGTTTGCCTCCGCCTGCTTTCGCCTGGGTTGTCGCTCCCACGAACTCATGAGTGGGTGCCACTGCCACACGCGGCTCTTTCCACGAAGTAAGGAAAAGCTCGGAAGAGGGAGCCTTCGGGTTCCTCCCCCACGCTCGCAGCCAGACCTCTAGTTGCTCGTGGGCTTGGATCTCATCGGGGTCCAGGACTCCTGCCTTCCCATCGGTTCCAGTCAGAGCCTGCATGAGACTCATAGCCACTTGCCAGCCTGGCTCCCGGACTGCAGCTGCTATCATGCGATCCTTTCTCTTCGAGTCGGCGGAACGCCAATCCTCTGCGAGGCCCCCTTGCATTTCCCACACCTCTTCTGGGAGGAGAGGACGGACCAGACCCGTCCCATCTTCCAACAGGGTGCCTCCTGGGATCTTGAGACGCTCACCTGTGAGCCTAGGTCCGCAAGCTGGGCCCCGTGTGCTATGGACCAGGTGCCTGCTGCCGGCGCGCACGTCAACCAAGTGGCCGACTGGTTTTGGAAGCCACTTGTCTCCGGTGGTGATGAGGTTTGGTTCTCTCGTGAAAAGGTAGTCGGGCGGGCATAATCCCTTACCTGACTCCTCTGCGGATCGCAGAGGTAACATCTGACACTCGTTGACTTGTGCAACTCGCCATGCTTGAACTCTCTCCTTTTCGTCGGCCGTTCCTCCAAAAAGCCAAAGTCTTCTGGCCCTGGCAAAGAAGCTGCCGTGGTGTGAAGTCTGATAGTCGACCACTTGTGCCTGACCCCATTGAACCTGAAGCTGCATCAGGCGATTTCGGCTGGTTTCAGAGAGCTCCCTGGGCTGGTCAACGATAAGTCGTCCTCTCCAATCAGTTCTGGCGAGGGTTTTTAGAAGGATGTCTGCCTCCCGCCCCGAACACAGACGATCCAGTCAGCTTGCGCCTGGCTTGCGATCGATCCTCCGCCCTTGACCCACCCCAGCTCGAACGTCAGTAGTTCCGACCCTAGCCGGATTTGGTGGAGTCCCCCTTTGAATGGCTTTGGTTCGATCTTGGCGGGGAAGGCATGCACGGTTTGCTGTTCGTTGGCCAGCTGAATGGCTAAAGCTGCACTCGGGCCCTTCTCCCCTGGTAGCTTCAACGTGGGGCGCATGGCTTCTCGCAGGAGTCCTTCCCAGTCCTCATTGAGCTCGAGGCGGGTCCAGCCACTGCTTTCCATTTCCGCATGGACCTTGTCTTCATCCTCCCTTGTCAGCCAGTCGTTGAGAGTATTGTGGTAGGTACGGACGTACGCTCCATCGACAGTGAAGCTATTCTCCGCTTCGAGCCGCTGGAGCAGCAGCAAGAGCGCCCTCACGTATCTGTTTGAAGCGCGCCTGGTACGTAACCATGCTTTGACATTCATGTTGTCAGTCACATAAAGGATCAGTTGCCCCTGCCAGGTTTCCTTCCGCGCCGCTGCCAGGACAATGAACGTCAGAAGCTCCATCACTCCGATGATCTCCAAGTGATCTCCGCCCCCTACGACTTCGCTCACGGCCCTGACGTATCTGCTGCTGTCCGCCATGTGGTAGCATCTATCCTTCCAATCAGTGCTTCCGAGCCTGGTTAGCGTGGCATCTCCTCCAACGAATCGGGCCGAAGCGGCCATGCCAGGGAGTGCGAGCCTTTCCCTTAACGGCAGGAGCTTGCCGAAAGCTGCTCTGAAACTGGTTCCCCAAGGCTTTTCCATCTGGAGGCGAACCCAATCGAGCGCATCCCAGAACTCAGCCCAGGCAGCCTCTAGCTCACTCTCGGAGCCCCTGGGTTTCACCCATTCATGATCGCCTACTTCCTGCTGCAGGAGCCTGTAAAAGACTGGTAGATAGGGTGCAATCTCCGGAGCGGAGACGGCCCAATACTGCGCTGTCCCTGCCAGTTCTCGGAGCAGCTTGGTACGAACTCGTTGGCACCCCCTTTGAAGCTGAGGCTCTCTTAGGAGATACTTCGCCTTTATTCGCTTCGGTTCCGGGAGGACCACAACCTGTTCTTCAAAGTCTAGGTGGAGGCCCCACAGGAGCTGGGATTTTGCCGGGGTGCCTTCTTCGGCGAGCTTGTCGAGATTGATGGCTCCAGGGCCCCAGACTGATACCATAGCTGCATCCATTGCTGACAGGGATCTCTGGATCCTATTCCCCACTAGTGGCTCTACCACCACGCCGTCATCCATCAGCCATCGGCTGGTGTAGGGAACCACATCGTTGAATTGAGGATGGCATGGTCGGAACGACCCGTGGTGCTTTTGGGCTGCGGTGGCCCATATCACGAACTCCCCTGGCGCTCCTACCCAACCGAACACCATCACCAGACTCAGGATCAGCACACCTAGAATCCTCGTGCAGAATTCAGGGACATCGCCCGGCTTGAGGAAGTGCCACTTAAAAGCCCTTGGCACATCGCGTTTCGCACACCTCTGTGGAACCTTCGGGTGTCGCACCCTCCACCAAAGGCTTTGCCTGACCACTGCTCTGTGCCTAGGCTGAGCGGCGGGTGGGTGGTCGTATTTGGAGCCCGAAGCATTCCTGGCTCGCATATCGTTGATGGGACGACCTTCCGCTGAGATGGTTCTGTCGGGGTTTTGCTTGGGCACTCGGCCGAGAGGGCTCTCGGCCACCTTGCTCTCGGTCAGTATCTGGTCGATTTGCCGATTTTCTTCTTGGTCCTCGGTCTCTGTGGAACACAGAAGTACCGCCCCATAAGATGCGTCTTTCCATGCCTTCTGCAGCATCTCTTCCTCGTGCCCCCTGACGGAGCCGTGGTTTCGGGCCTTCTCTCTCTTGGGGGTACTCTTAGCTCGGCTGGGCACGCCCTTGAGCACACAGTCTTTCAAGTATTGCTCGTGTAGGGGGCTGAGCCCTTTCAATGCTCCTTCCTTTGCCTTCTGGAAGTGTTCCCCATACTTCCTCAGCCTCGCTTTGTTGACTAATTCAGCTGCTCTTGGCACCGAGCCGGCGGCCCTCAACAACGCATTTCCTGCCTCTGTGGCTTTTCTCACTGCCTCCTTGCTGTAAGCACTCTGGCATACCTCCAAGTATTTCTCAGCAGTGCTTTGGCCATTGGCGTCGTCGACGCTGCCTGCCCTTGTGCCCTGCCCCTCAGCTTGCTTTTCGGGATCGGAAACAGACCCCTCCCCCCCACAAAACGTACAAGGGTAGACCATCTGTTGGAGTTCGCATCCTGAACAGGTGTAGCCATGTGGGAGGCCTGGTCCATCCGCTTGGCCAGCAACCACCGGTGCCAAATGTTGGCCAAGGGTTCGCTCCAACGTATTGGCTGGATCAGCCGGCCAAGGGGGTGCGTCCAGTTCGGTCCAACATTTCTCTAGGGCTTTGAGCACGCTGTGCTCTTGCAGATATGTTGTCCAGCTCCATTCTTCAAAGGCTGCTCGGACTACCAGACCCCAGGCTGCACACAAAGCTGGTGCGTATTGCTGTGCCAGTCGAGTGAGAGGTACTTGAGGAATTGGACTGGGTCCCTTCAAGGGTGCGTGCTGGTGAGTCGGGCCGACTCCTGGGCACTGCCTACCAAGGAATAACAAGGCCCATGGGTAGAGTTCTGGGGAGACCAGCCACCAAGAATGCTTGCGATGAAACAGGCCCTCCTCAGTCTCAGGCGGTCCCAGACCCCAAGCGCACATAGCCATAGAGACAATTTTTGCGCCGGTGCGGCGGCGGAGCCTCTGCATACAAGGCAGGTCCCATATCTTGGGGTAGCGGCCCGACGGCGCGCTACTCTCCAATGCGAAGACTCTTCCGTTGTCCGCCAGAACCGTACAAAGTTCGGCTGCGAACTCTGCGTCTTCATTTCCTTGAACTTCAGAGGGACGAGTGCCGTCGCCTTGTGGGCGTTGCCAGGTCCTGCTGCCACCGTTCTTCAGCTGGTGGTCGCAGAAGGAAGTACAAACGACTCCAAGCTGCCAAGTGTTGGGGACATCGGGCCCTGGTGGAGCACCAGCTAATCCCAGCAATCGTTCTCGGACCTTCGGGTCACGGGTATCATGCTGCGGCTTAAAGCCCTTTTGCTCGATCGGGTCCTCATAGTATTCAATGGGTTCTCCGCACGGGATCCCCTGGTACTGAAGCCCCTTGGTCCATCCTGCCCATCCAGCGTACACCTCTTGACCAATTGGCCCATAGGCGAAGGCGAGCCTTTTTCGCAGAGGCACACCGCTGTTTTGAAGAGCCTGTGGATCATCCTGCAAGCAGGACTCAAATGAAGCCGGTGGCAACGGGAATCCTTCACCAACACGATAAGGCCTTTGCTGCTGTTGCTGGCATCTTGTGCAGGCGGGGGACTTGGCTGGAACCATCTGATCCTCCACTTTGCTCTGGTCCAAGATCACCCTCCAATGTTCAACCTGAAGTTCCCTGGTGACCTTGTCTGCAGTCCTCAGGTGATCCAACAGCTGCTGGGGCTGTTGTGGAAGAAGCAGGCGCATATGCCCCCGGTGGATGGTAACGAAAACTAGCTTCCCATTGCCAGCATCATCTCCGTGGAGCAAGTCGACCTCCAACCGACCAAAATAGGAAATCCTGAGGACCGCCAACGTGTATCCTTGCAGCATGGATCCTGTGAGGGTTTGCAAGGCGCGGTAGTCTTTCTCGTGGTGAGGAAAGAGGCAATCATGGACGTTTTGACGCAAGAAGTGCTCGCCCTCAGGTATCCACGCTGGCGGATCGCCAAGGTGTGCGTGAGCCTCCACTGCTTCATCCCAGAGATGTTTTCTCAACTGGTTGGCTCTGGCTACGGCCTCTCGTAGTTCTACAGATGGATCATCGGCCAACGCTAACCCGACACCCACATGAAGAGGCAGGCATTGGCGCTCTTCTTCCAACTGCCCGTCTTGCAGTGGGACCTCGCTGTCTTTTGCGTTCAAGCGATCCTGGTAGTCACGGACCGTGACTGAGCCGATATGCGACAAGTTTCCTTGAAAGTTCAACAGGCCATGACCAATACCCTCGTCCCATGTGATGGGCGTAAATTCGACATCCGCTTGGTGACCCGCTTTTGGCTCGTGCTTGAGGAGCTCAAGTTGACGTCCGGCTTCCTTAGAGAGCGCGGGATGTCCATGTTCTGCCGCATCTTCGAGACACCGGTTCAGCTCCAGTTCATATCCTTCATCTTGTGCTGCCATCATACGTGCAATCACATGGGACCTGAGATAATCCGTGGGCGAATCCAAGGCCGCCAGAACCCCTTTCTCCTCCAGCGACTTCCATCGTTTCAGCCTTTCCCGCTCCTCTTGGCTCTGGTCATCCCAAGCCGGAGCGGCTTCTTGCTCAGTGGGTTGTGAGGGTATTCGCAGCCAGCCCTCATCTGGGCCCTGAACCGCCTCTTGCAAGTCAGTCTCGAGATGGGTCAGAGGGATATCATAGTCTTCAGGTGCGACCCACTGGGTGTTCCCAACCTTGTCTTCTTCAGCTTTACCCTCAGCTTCCTTCCCAGCTTTGGCCTTTGGCTTGGGCTTGACTTTCGCTTTCTTGCTAGGTTGGATCTTGTCGGCCTTATCCGCCGCTGCCTGGGTTCGCAGCTGAGCGACCCTTCCGTCGACCTCTTTGGGATCGATTTTCGGCCCACCTTTGAGTCCTCCTCTTCGAATGACCTGCATGGCAACTGTGTAGTCAAGTTTGGCCAATCCCGGCAAAGGCTCGTGCGCGTGCTGGCACTTGTCGCCTCTTGTGCATCCCATGTGTGTGGCCGCATCCCAGCAGATAGGTTTGTTGGTCTTGGGATCCTTAGGTGCGTGCTCCACGGACCGTGAAGCTTCTCCTTGTGTAAGCCGTTTTCCAGCTGGGTAGGCTGATTTCATGCTGCCGCCCGCATATCCATCGGCCTCTTTGTCTTTCAGGTTAAGCTTTGGGGCTTTCCCTGTCCTTGACTCTTCATCTTCAGCTGGACCAGCTGTCTTCTTCTGCTTGAGGTTGTGGTCGTGCAGCTGCTTGTGGAGCAGCCTCGACATTTGCCTTTGCTGCCTGGGTACCACAACTGTCTGGTAATATCCGTTCGGGTCGCCCAGATCCCATATGCTTGGAAACTGGAAGTTTGCTTGCCCATCCGCTCCCGGCGCCAAAGCTAGCAGCTTCAGGTCTTCAAGCCGTGGATTTTCGGTCCCCAGCAGAGAGCAGAGTTTCCTTCTGCTTTCTCGCAGTTCTTCGCACCAAGCCGCGACAAGTTCCTCAAAGAGCTCGATGCAGTAGGCAGCTGGGAAGGCATGCTCGTCTTCTTCATGGGCCTCCTTCAGGGCTTGGAGACAATCGAGCCTTTCTTGGATATGCTCTGTACCATAGCAGGATCCAAACACGCGAACTGAGTTTTCCGCGTACCTGAGCCAAGTGTTGAAGACTCCTGGTGGTCTCATGCGATTTTCGATCTTGTTGTCGGAGGACGGATTCCAACTGTCCAACTGCTCGGACCGAGCGGTAACGCAGTCACTTGCGTGCAAGGTATAGGTGTCTTTGCCACCCCACCACAGACCAGCGATGCCAAGTAGGACCCTGTTGGTCATCAGCACCGGCCATTTGATCAAGTGCAGCATATGGCGAGCGTGATTTGCCACCCTTTTCCCCGCGTGGAAAAGTTCCTTCCCGTACACTCCCGGTGCGAGTTCAACGGTCAGGGTGCCACAGCCTCGTGCCAGGAAGACGTCCATCTTCTCCGCCTCTTTGATAGAACTCAAGGTCCCTTTCGTGAGGTTTTTGTCGTCATCCTGTGCTCTTCTCAGACCGTCGATGGCGTGAATGATGCGGTCCGCGCTCTGGACTTGTGTGCTGTCTCCGAGGGCTTCTCCGAACGTGGCTCCTGCTCTGCCATCCGGCATCTGCTCCGATGCTGGTTTCACGAGACTGTTTCGACCGCCTGACCCCTTGGGAAAGAGCGACAATCCACCTCTCTGGACCGGGGGGATTGAGGAGGAGCTCCTCGGCAGAAGTGGATTCGCCGGCCGGGGGACTGCTGGCTTTACGGTCACTCCTCCTGGCATAGTTGCCGTCACGGGTCTTCTTGCAAACTCCATTTCGCTTTGGTCGGCTCCCAATCCTGGTGGTGTCGTTGGCTTCGAGTAGCTAAGGCGGTGATTCCTCGCATACATCGACTGAGCCAGTTGCTCATGATCTAGGTCGAAGGCAGTGGCCACGGTCTGCAACACTTCGGAATCTATCTCTCCCTCAATGTGCTGGTCAAGAGCTCTTCGAGCCGCCTCCATTCTTCCCTGGCGATCTGAATCATCTAGGTCTGGGAAGGGTGGAATCGCCGGTCCCGCACCCTCTTCCAGCTCGACTTTCGGCTTTGGCGGTGTCATAAAGTCGTCGGACATCTCAGCTTCTTCACGCAAATATGCATCAGCATGTGGGAGGATCTCCCGGTAGAGTCTCCCCTGCCAGGCTTTACTTGGCTTCGCTCCTTCATCCGTCACCTCACCGTCCCAGGCATTCAGGGCCGCTGCTTGGTCTTCGGACAGGCGCGCGACCAAGACCGATATCCCTTGGCCGACTTCTTCGTCATGGGTATGCTGAAGGAACTTCTGCACCCAATGCTTACTAATTCGACCCGCCCCGTTGTCTCGAGGGGACCCTTTCAACAGCCTTCTGTGGATCACACACGTTTGCTTCAAGGAAGGGATGTGGACTTCGAGCAGCTCCTGGCTGCGCCCTTCTTCGGCGAACCCCTCGATGCGCCCCAACCATGCAGTCCACCTGGGTGGGGCCTCCGCGGTTTGTAATGACTTTGGTCTGAGGAGCACCATGCACGGGCCCTTCTCAAGCTTGCCTTCAATCTTCTTCTGGGATTCACTAGGATCGGCCGAAGCAGCCCTGGGCCCAAGTCGTTCAGCGCCGTCAAAGATGATCCGGCGGCTTCTTCGTGCAGGGGTGAGGCATTCTCCTTCGGACATAGATGCCTCGGATCGTGCAATGGAGCTATCTCTCTCATGTGTCCAGCTAACCCTGCGGGTAGGGCGAGCACAACCACCAAGGTCCGTCAGGTGGTGCTTGCAGAGGGGAACTCCCTGTTTGGCACCATCAACCTGTTCGTAGCAAGCCAACACGCTGCATTTTCGGCTTGAACATGCCGCCACGTAGAGCTGCCGATGATGGTCGCAAAGCCTGACGGAGGATCTCCTTTTGACGTCAGAGAGTTCTCTGTCCCTCTCCAGGAGCCGGACCGGCTCTCCGATAGCCCGATCTGCACATGGGTCTGTGGCCAATGCTCTCGGTTTGCCTCCATGTTCCAAACCGACTAATACGGCCTCACAAGGGTCATCTTGTACCTCTACTTCAGATTCAGATTCCGCATCCAAGGGTCTGACGACGGCTCCTTCGACTATGGTTCTGGGTGGCGTCCGCTTTGCCCAAAGTTGTCTGAGAATGAACCATCCCGTCAGATAGTACACGCAGAGACTAAGCCCCCGCACCATTCTACGTAGCCATCGACCCATCAAGACGATCACCCTGCGGGTGGACCACCCTGCATAAGCTCCCAAATCCACCAGCCCATTGGCATCCACCGAAGCGTAAGCTTTGCAATGTAGACCGGGTGTTGGTTGCAATTCAAGCGGACACCGCTGCTCGCGACAGAGATGGATTTTCCCCTCCTGTTCCAACGTTTGGCGAAGCGCTTTCGACGTGGAACCCTTCACTCCACGGAGACGAACCCATAACCCGTATCGATCCACACGTGCCCAATGATCCCCGTCTACCTTCAAGCGAGCTATTTGGTCATTCACCACAACAGCTACGTCATTGGGTTTTCTTTCTGAACCTCGACCCTTGACGCCTCGTTGGTAGAATTCGGAATCGACGCCCCCGCTAGAGGCGGGTCCACGGATATCCAGCTTTTCGTATGTGCCCCCAGGTCTAAGTTCGGGGAGGAGCTCCCCCACCTCTTTGGCTACTGCTCTGGTCTGTCTGCAGCAACATTTGCAGAAAGCTTGACAGGGCCGGCAGATAACCAATAGCAAGTAGAGAATCAAAATTGCTCCCAAAACCACGATGGCACTTAACAAACATCTGGCAACCCATGGCCAAAAATCTCCGCATGTCCACACCCCCAGCTGATCCAAGAAGTACAATCCCCACCCTCCTGAGGAGCTCAGGGTTCCAGGTGCTGTTGGTGTGCTGAACCATGAGGAGCCTATCCATGAACGGAAATCAAAGTGGAGGACAGAGTATCCCCACACATGGGCTATTCCTTCAAACGGGATTCCAGATTGAGAACTTTCCTTCGTGGGATCGGACTGACCTTCTGATACTTCGGGTTGATCTTTCCCATTGGTGACTTCTTCCTCCCTAGATCCAGTCATCCCATGAAAGACATCCAGGTACCATGGCAGGCCATACACAGAAGGGGAACCTACACTGGAAACTAGCCCTAATATGAGCGCCCAATTGCAAATGGGCATTGTGACGATTTCGTCAGTATCCAACAATCAAAATGGGCAAAGACTTGAGCCCAAAATGACAGTAGCAAAACACGCTAACCCTCCGTTCTAGTGAACATCCAATTAACTTACAAAACCGAGAGTTGTTTACATGTCAGATAAACAGACGGACACCTGTCTGCCCACATTGAGGCAACTTTTTAAGGGCACACGAACATGATTGGATTTGTTGTTCCCTAACACAAAACAATATCAGTAAAATCTTTGATTCAGATAGGTCGTTTTTCAGAAACAATCTTACTAAAAAAATGGATGGGCAATATCGAACAACACACTTGGCACTTGATTGATCATCGGCCATTTGTTGGACGAACGAAAGGACCAAACGAACAAATTTTGAATGAATCGTGACATAATTGCTGAATATTTGTTTGAAAAACAATGCGGGCCCACCATTACTGGACAGAAACAAACACCTGACCCATTCACCAAAGCGCAAGTATGCTCCATATACATATGGGTTGCACACAACAGCCCTGAAGACCATCGCGGTACTATCGCACAGGTTCGCGGGTGGACAAATTGAACAAATTGCTAAAGGTGTCATGTTTGCAAACATCTTGGAACCTCTCCTTGGGCATGCTCAATATGGATTCGTTTTTCGCCTAAATTGATCATGAAACCGTGTTTTTCTCGCTTTCGAGACCCCACTTTACACCCAGCATGCTTGATAATATAAAAGGCCTTTATTCGAACCCAAGTGTCTAAATTTTCCAATCCGGGCAGAAAAACAACTGGCAAAAGCAAAACACTGACAATGTCAGCCCTGGATTACAACCATAAATAATAAACCATTGTTTATTAATCCGGGGTTGACATGATACGAGAAAGATGTCGGGTAAATTCTTACTTGTTCATAACCACAGTGCATGTAATATTTCATGATGAAAGACATGAACACCATGCCCCACTTCACAGCGATATTTTCCAAGGCATACATTTCCATTATTTTTTTTGCCAATGACACATGGATCATCCCAAAAAAAAATGCAAGTGCAATTGCCTTCTTGGACTTGATAGAATCAGAGTGAGTACCCACATTTCAAATCCATTTATGCAAAATGGAATTGTATCAGACTCAGTAGATCCCGAGGAAAACCTACCACGGAAACAAAATGCCGGTGTTCATAATTAGAGCGGGTGCACCAGATGTCGCGCAAAAAAACCGTACAAACTCCACCACGACGTCAAGCCTCAGACGGATGAATTTTGGAACAGAAGGCGCCGGAACCAAAAGTGGAACTTGCTAGGATATAATTCGGTAATCGTGAGATTAAAGGACAAACGCTCCACACTTTCCATTTAAAAGGGTTGCAGAGGATCTACGGCCTACATACCACTTTCGTTGACGGAAATGATACTGTAATTGTTGGTACTTGCAACCGACAGGCTTTATTTCAGGCTGATTACAAAACATGAAATTTTTGACTGGGATTCTCAAAGGTAAATCGCCGTTTCGAAATTCCGGGGCATATGCTTAGAAGGCCAAAATCGCATCCTCAACACCAAGTCACTCTTTGATCCGCGCTGCCAGGCCGAAAGTCCCAATCTTGCGCAAAGTAGGCAGTCCCAAAAACTCGTGGACTGCCGAAAACATAGGGTAAACTTGATAAGGTACTTGGGAAATGATATAGAACGCAGACAATGCTCAACCAAATTTTCGTTTTGGTCCGGCCAACTTTGCTATCACTTCCTTTTTGAACGTATTCATTGTGCGTGTGACAGAAACACTGCTACTTCAACAAACGGTGGGTGCTTTCTTTTTTTTTTTGTTTCTTTCCTTTTTTTCGCCCATCCAAGTCACCCCGATCTGTTTTTCAGAGACAAATGGAACTGTGTCTTGTGGGCCGCCCAGTGCGTGTTGCATTTTTGTATTCATGCGTGCCACAATTTCGGCCCAGTCTTCATGTAGGAGTTTGACCGACCCAACAAATATTCCAAACATTTTGCGTTGCAACCGGTCAGCCGACTGTACCTGTACCTTGGTCAAGGGCAACGTTGAGCATCCAAACAAAATGGTAGAATAAATTGCCGCATCAAATAACTTCAATTTGAATTTCAATGCAACATGCGTGTTCAATAAAACGTGACGCTATTTGTGGATGTTCGCCCCAGCAATTTGGCCCGATGTTCCAGTTCCAGTTGAGTTACAGTTTTTTTTAACATGAAGGGGTTTATCCACAACTTCGAGTGGATGTTGTTTTTGGATGTTTTTGGTGTGGTTTTACGTGGCTGGTGTATGATTGCATAGGTTTGGCGTAGGCATTTTTCAGGGTTCCAAATACCTTTTGGATCGCGTAGGCCAGAATTTCATTGTGTGTCAAGTACAAGCGTTTCCACCTGCCTGTTGCTCTAGGGGCCCACTATGAGGACCGGCGCTTGCTTAAGCCAAATGTTTTGCCAGTTTGCGAAGGACACCTGGAACAGGCGTAGGCTTCGCGTAGACTTTGGGTAAGCACCGGGTAGGATCAGGTGCTTGACCACCATCCATTGGAAACCGCCCTCCCCTTCCGGAACTGCCGCTCGACACATTGAAGCACCAAAGAACTGACAGTCGAACACGTCACCTTGCTTGACTCCAGTATGGTCAACGGTCACTAGCCTTCAATCATTCATCGGCGAGAATGTTTAATGTGCACTTTGGCGACAGGGTGGTACTGGTGCCGTTGCTGGGTGTGGCTGCAAGATGCTCATGGGCGCTTGGCTCCGGGCCGTTGCAGGGGCCTGTGTGGACTTTGGAGCCTGCTAGCTGTTGCCTGCGCGGAATGCGCAAGGCACCCCACCTCCCTTTGCCACAATATTGATGGGATTGTGGTTGCGTAGGCAGAAGATCGGCTTCCATACTTCCAAAAGGCGCGAGCATGACGGCGTGGGCAAACAAGTCTTTTTACACGGGCTTTGGCCCGGTGTTCAGGCAAGGTGGCCTTCTTGGAAGAAGAGGTGTCAAGTCAAAGGATTGGTCACGTCTAGGGCCTAGGGTGATCCTGGCGGGCCTTCCCGCTCGTGCAAAACTCGCACCACGGGGCAAAAAACAAATGCATCAGGCGGCGAGCAACCGGGATTGCCTCTGGTGGTCGCTCGGGCTGTGCCTCCTCCTTATTAAGGTCGGCGAACAGACTTCGATCCTGCAGCTCCAAGTCTTGTTCAGCGGCTGCTTCTTCTTCACGCCTCGCATGCTCTTTTGACTGCATCTCCTTCTTCATCACCATGTCGAGGATATTGTTCCACTGCCATGGCTTCCTCATCAGCTGGATTGATGGTTGCGATCTTTGCCTGCCAAGCCTTTGGTTGTTCCAGTTCCTCAAACGGCAGGAGGAACTGTTTACCGTTCCGGGCAAAAGTGATTTTGCTGCCGTCTGCCCCTTGTATGCAGCAGCTGCCCTGTTCAAAATGGACACTGGCACCCATGTCAAGTGCTCTGTTGACAGACAGGATGTTATCCGTGATACTTTGCAGAACTTGGAAAGACACGTGGGCTTCCTCCTTGTGCTGGTCACCTAACCTGAGTCTTGAGCGGTGTGTCATCCACAGTGTAGAGTTCTTCTACCGCTTCTGTTCAAGGCGGCTGTTTGAAACGCCTCAGGTTTGCACACTGAGGAGCATGCGCCAGTGTCTACTAAAAGAGTACCCCAGCTGGCAATCTTGGCCAGTCGTGAATTGTCTCCTGCAGGTGTTGAAGATTGTTTCCATCGAAAACTGAGTGGGGCTCGTTCAACAGCTTCCACTTCATTCTGAGCGCTTGGCATTGCCATTGTTGCAACTTTTTACTCCATTGCCAGGTTGTTCTCAAAGTGTACTCAGGATATTAAGGTCCTGGAGTCACGTATTCCCTTTTGCGACCAGAACGACCCTTCGTCACGTACATCGTGGGGTCAAGACTGAGGTCATGCCGGCCTGGTTTGTCTTTCAGTGCCAAAATGGCATTACTTGTTTCAGGATTCTGTCCTTTGGGATTGGCTTAGTGGCCTCAAGTTGTGAAACTTCGCGCTGCTCTGCCTAAGTGGACTCAGCAATCTGGATGCTGCTCTGCAACTCTTGGCCGGCCTTGACCATGAGAAGTCGATGTTCCTCGATCTTACCAACACTTTTTTGCTGCTTGTATTGCGTCGAGGATGGGAGAGTGATGATGCTACTGTTTCCTCCCACTTGAGATGCCGAGGGCCCAGCAGATATAACCGAGGATGTGTCACCCTCAGCGACTGCTGAAACGGACTTCTTCGCTTTGTCCTTTTCAGCACCTTCATTTCCATGGCAAACTTGTTGTGGACCGTGCAGGGTTTTGCTTCGGGTGTTTGTTTCACTCATCATGTACCATAATGCGAGTCATGAGAACTTCATCTGTGTTTTGGTGTTTCTTGGCCTTTAAATTGAACCAACACTTCTGTGTCGTATGGCCTGTTTTCCAGAAGATGGCGCATCTGTTTTTGCTGTCACTGCTTTTGCCACTCTTTCCGCTGCTGTGGATCTTTGCTTTTCCCTTTTGTTTTCCTTTGCCCTTCTTGCCCTCCTTTCCTTCGCCATCTCTTCCTTTAGCCTTACCTTTGCCATGACCGATTTGACCGATCTCCATGGCATCAGGGTCTTTGCGTGCGGCGGCGCCCGCATACGCAGCTGCTGGCTTCCACACCTGCTTCGCTTGCAAATATGAACCAGACTGGTAAGTGGTTAAAGTCCCTATGTGCATGGAAAGGTGTTGTTTCAGAGCTGTAAGGGCTTCCGTCAACACCACGGCGCGCTTGTCCTCGTCGCTGATGGCTTTGGCTTGGCCATATTCGGCCTCATACTTGTCGAGCTCAGCTTCCCATTCTTGCAACGCAGCTGAGAAGTCTGCCTCTTTGGGAAATTTGGGGCTGAGCAAGGCGCGTCTCCATACCAAACTCTTAGAGTGGTTGTCTGGGGCGAGCTCGCGCCAAAGCAACCGCCAGAATTCCCAGCCATTCTGCTCTCTTATACTTCTGGCGATCTTTGTCGCAACAGTCAGCTCTTGCGTCCGTGACTTCAGCATTGCAAACAGCTGTCTCCCTCAAGACTTGCAGTCATCTGTCATATCCACAGGGTTAACAAACGTTGTGCTTTTTCATGCTACGTCAAGGTCATCAGGAAACTCTTCACTCAGCAGTGCCAGGTACGTTTCCACCTGAAAACTGAAGCGTTCCCATTGGTCCCGATCCTTCAAGGATTGGGGCTGCTTGACGGATTTCAGCACATCGATGTGACTAACTGGCCTGCCGGCGGCGGAGCTCCCCGCGCTTGGCTGGGGATGCTGACCTTGACCGGCGCCTGTGAGAGATGGTTGCAATAATGTCGTTACGCCGTTGAGGCGTTGCTCGAGAGCCTCTTTCTCTTGCTGCAGCTGCGTGTTTACTTGCGTTTCACTCTGTTGGGCGGTAGTTAACGCTTGCACCTGACTCGCTAGAGCCCCCATCTGCAGTTGCAGCTGGCTTGCCGCTTGCGGATCCATCTTGTTGGATTGCTTGGTCTGAACTGTTGCCTGCCCCTACAAAGGGTGTTTCAGGTTGTTGGCTCAAAGCCCCTTGGCTCTTGTCACACAGATCCAACACTACCATCAGCTGTTCACCTACGCTGGTAGGGGGGTTGAACACGCGGGATGCCCGCTGCGTACAGCGTTGGCGCGGCTAACCCTGTTGAGCTGCTGGCAGGCGTGGCCTTGCCTTTGTTCTCCTCTTTGGCTTTCTCCTCCGCCCAATATTGTTTTTTTTTGGGATCGTGAGGAAACTCTAAGATCTCGAAACTTTCGTCGCTGCTGATGCCGCCACCTCGTCCAACAGCTCCGGCGGGACTTGAGGACTTGGCTTGTTGAGGATCTTCTTGGCCTCAGCGATGCTTTTTGGACGTAGGCCTTCCTTGCTCTCTCAGCTTTTGGCACAAGGATGGCTCTTGTCTCTTTGGCCGCTTCTAAAGCTGGTTTGCCTTCAGGCAGTTCTTCCCGCTCGCTCTTCACTCCAGTAATGACCCTTGAACCACCGCTGGGTTCGTTGCGTGGAACCTCCGCTGCAACCGGCTCAAGCTCTTCCTTGGTTGAATTTTCCGGTTCAACTTTGGTTTCTGGCTGAATGACTTGGGTGTTTGGCTCAGCTGCTGGCTCAGGCTGCACGGGCTCTGTCGTTGGCTCCGGCTGACTCTTGTTGTGCAGTTGTCTGCAACGGTTCTGGCTGTGCTGGCTCTGGCTGCGTCGGCTCAGGCGGCACAGGTTGGGCTGGTTGCGCTGGCTCAGGTCGTGCTGGCTGCGCTTGGTTTTGTTGCTGCTGTTCCCAAGCTGCTGCCTGTCTACGGTCTTGCCCCCTGTTGGTTCTGGCCAGGGTTCGGGCCACTGACCTGTAGCCTTTCCAGGCCTCTCCTATTTTGGCTCTGTTGGTTTCGGCCGGCTTGCCGACTGGACCGTCCAGAAGCTCTCTCACCCCAGGCTTCCCGCCACACGCGGTTAGCGTCAGTGAGGTCACCAGGTGGTGCTGCTGTTGTCTGCTGGTCGGTTTGCCCTGACCAGCCTTGGTTCGACCAGTCCCGGTTGGACCAGTCACGGTCGGACCACTGAGAGTAGTCCTGTGTCCAATCCCGGCTTTCCCAGGATCTATTCCAGGTGAATTCCCCGGTGGTTGGGACCCGCCGTGTTGGCGAGAAAGTCTTTCGCGGCCTTGGCCACGCGGGGCTACCCGCTAGTGAGATGCGGTTCTGCCCGCGACCTTGGTCGGCGGGTCTGACCGCTCAGAGACCTGGAGCGGAGGGCCTACCCTCACAGCTCCGCTACCATGCAAAACCCGAGGTGGGTTCAGTCCTAGTTACAAACCTAGTCCAACACACGCGTCACACTTTTTCCTTGAAGGCACGGAGTGTGCTCAAAAAGGGGCTGCGGACATGCACGTCTTACATGACATGTCATCTCTACAGCTACATGCTACACATGAGGTTTTACCCCTGGTATGTTGCCACTATAAGAGGTCTCCGGGCACACCTTCAGACGGCAATTTTTTTTTTTAAATGAAATTTCTGTACAAGCTCTCTATAAAAGCTCGCTTGGTAAGATTTATGCAAGAGACCTTTTGGCAAGATCTTTGCAACAGATCTCTATGCAATGTCTTTGTACTAGGCCCGATTAGAGGTGTCCTGTCAGGATCTCTGTGCAAGATCTCCGTGCAAGATTTCCAAAAGAGGTGTCCTGTGTCCTGGCAAGCTGTCTGTACAAGATCCCTATAAAAGGTGAAGCGACCTCTCTATTGGAGATCTCCACAGGGAGGATATCGGGGAGTTAAAAGTAAGATTTCTGTCCAAGCTCTCTATAACAAAAACCCCGAGCAAATCGCTGCTCTCCTCACCAAGTCTCTGAACAAGATCTCTATATCAGAGTTCTCCTGACAAGATCTCTATATAAGTGCTCTATTGGCAAGACCTCTGTAGGAGATCTGTTGGCAAGATCTTTGAACACGAATCTTCGTACGAGGTCTCTTGGCAAGATCTCTGTACAAATTTAGGAAGTCTCTTGGCAAGATTCCGGTATCAGCAGTCGACATGCGCAAGAGGCATTTGACGCGCAAATTTACAAGAACAATGCTGCGCCCAAGAAGTGAGCAGCACGTTTTGTGCGAGCCAGCACAGTCGAAATGCACATGGGCATGTCACAAGGACCATTTAACGCAGAAATTTAGAGGGAAAATGCAGGACGCTAATCCCGCGGCCTCCGTTTCGTGCGAGCCTGCGCAGTCGAAATCCACATGGACATGTCACAACAGCATTCTAAATTTGTCGCGGAAATTTCGGGAAAATGCTAAACGCTAATACCGCGACACCCGTTTTGCGCGTCGAAACGCGCGGCACGAGAACCAATTTTTGTAGAAATTTTCAAGGAAAACGCCGGACCCAACGGGCACCACCTCGATTGAACACCGGGCCTTAACACTCACACCGTAAGAACCCTTCAGTATGGCCACACTGTTTGAAGAATAATCTAAAATTCTCTCAATGTTCGGCAAACACCTGCTTCCTTCCAGCCCCCAACAACCACAAAACAAAAACGAAAAAAAAAACACCTGAGCAACCCAACTTCCGCCGGGGGAGGCGTTGCGCCCTTCCCCCATATCCCTGTCCAGCAAGTTCCAAAATTCAAACCTTACGTCACCAACACCCATCAACAACCCATGCCAGTGCAACATGAGAGATTCAAACCCCAACATGTTCCAGTTCCACAAACACTTGCTTCCCAACGTGTAAACCAAAAATAAAACAAAATTGAAAACACAACGCAGCAACTAGTAGCCGAACGCTATGGAAGGAGGATAGGCGGGAGACGTCCAACAGAAGGGTTCGCAAGCGGTAGGGGCCCAAAAAACAAGTATATAATTCCACGGAGTTCCGCTCCAAAAAACAGAAAGGCAGGAGTCTTTCAAACAATGACCAAATGGTTGCCCGCACGCATCTGGAACAACATGGGTTTGGTGAGGCTAAAATTTGATCCCTTTGGAATATTTTTTCTAAAATAATATTCCCAAAAAAATATCCCGTGGATTGTTTTCGGATAAATTTTGTTCATTCGTAATGTTTTTGGATCCATATTCCTACCCCGTTTGCTGTCAAATTTCATTTACTTTTCAAAGTAGGGGCTGGAATGCCAGCAGGAGTTCTCCAAGGCACATTCGTGAAATATTTTTGTCAACCCATTAGGGGGAACAAAATGTCATGATTTGCATTTGCCCATGTGTACCATACATGTAATTTGTGCCAAGTTGTTGGGTTTTAATGTGTTTTCATGTGCTAATTTGCGACAAAGTTCGAGCGAACATGATCAGAAACTCTGTCTATGGAAAATGGACGTTGTGATGCAGTATCCAAATTTGACACGCCATTTCACAAAATTTCCGGCATGGGTGTGACATTGGAGTGTCACACTCTTTCAGGCCAACGTCTCCAACATTTTCCTGGGGCACTTGTGTATTGCGTTCATTTTTTCAGAAAGGTTTTTTTGTGAGATTCCTTTGTGAGGAAGTGCGCCGGAAACAAACATGGAAGTTCTGACTACTGTATGTCCAACTGCTGCACAATAACAGACGTTATACCAAGACCAAAACCTGAGCCAGCAACACACACACACACACAAACATGACGAGCAAAGTCTTGAACCCGTGGTCAGTCAGATCAAGAGGATGAAGAGTGAGCACGTCCATTCCAATACGATGTTTCGGTTTTTGTGGCCTGTAGAATTTGCCAAACCTTGGTTGTTTTTTGCAATCACGTGCCATAGGTAACCTAGTTCTTTTTGCGATTTTGCAGTAGGACACTGGGCTTGAAGACGGGATGGCTTTCTTCAGGAACCTTGTTCTTGGTTCGAAACCCTGTTGGCCATGGCTCATGGATCATGGTATATCATGGGAACATGAGCTCGTGATGCTTTCTGGATCGCAGCTTTAGTTGGTATAAATCAAGGGCAATCCTGTTCCGTAGAAAGCCTTTGTTGGAACTATGGCCTTGAAGTCTGTGGTGGGCAACTTGGTCGCTGACTTGACCCATCAGCACCATGATGGGCACGCAACCTGCCTGGCAGATGGACACCATGCATTTGGCCAAATGGCATCCAGCTTTACGGCCTTCTTCCCGGATGCGGCTCCACATCACTCTGATCAGTTCCTGCCATCTATTGCGCCAGAGACCGTGCACCAAGGTGATGCAGTTCACTTGGATCAATTTGACCAGTCTTTGATGGCAACACGACGCCCAAAGATGCTTGTGAGCTTCCACAAAGAAGAGGGCGAGGAGAAGAAGGATGGCTAGTGAGGCTAGCGACAGCTAGTGTGGCTAGAGAGGTTAGTGAAGTGAGGCCTGGCTACTGAGGCTCGGACAGCCATCCCGAACAGGGCATATGACAACTGAAGAAGATAATGTACAGATTGAAGATTGTTTGTCCAGGAAGCAGCTGCAAAATCTGCGGCGATGATTCCCAAAATTCCAGTTGGCTTGGGCTATGAAAGAGAATGAAGGTTTTTTTTGGGTGTGTGACGTTTTTATTCCCTATTGAAGCTTCAGTGATGGAGTGGCAAACATGTTTAGGGAGAGGAGCTGAAGGCTGCGGGTGATGGGGCGGACGGACTTGAACTGAATCTATTTTCTGGGGTAAGGCATGCTTTGGTCGCTGCCCACAGATGGTGTGCAGCTGCGTCGTGATGCTGGTGATCCTGGCTTGTATGGCTAATGACCAAGACCACCTAAGTAGAGCCTCTTCTTCTGATTTTGCATGATTTTGCATTTTCCGCCGTATATTTGTTGGTTCCTAGCTTTGATACATTGAATGGGCCCCTTCCCGCCAAAGATGCGACTCCATGTGGTGAGTGGGGCAAAATGGCGACAGTTGCTTGGTGAAGAGATCAGCCGAGATTGGAGGTCTGAGTTTTTACTGCAAGGGCTGATGGATTCAGTGCTTTGGAGGAAACATGATCCTGTTCCATTCCGTCTTTGTCCCTTTCTTTAATGAATGGCCACTGAAAATACGCTGGTAGGAAATTGTTTGTGGTGCCTCTCTGTGTCCATGCATCTCCGGATAATGACCAACCACTCTAGGCCATTGACTTGTGCTGAGGCAGCCCTGATGCAATCACTGAAGCTGTTTGCCTGGGTGATTGCTTGGTTGGTTGGGGCGCTCAGCTGTGATGCCGCTTGTGGCACTGGCCCGTTGGTCAATAGTGGCGATGTAAGAAGTTAAATTGCCTTCCATGGCAATTTATGATATATATATATAAATATTATACGATATATTATAAATAAATAAATATATATATATATATATTAATTTGGCAATCAGATGAATAGAAAAGATCAAAGTGCGAATCGTGACAAAAAATCAGAGCTGTCAGAGCTGTCAGAGCTGCGGTGCAATTTCGAATAATTTCGATCTCCAATGATCTCCCTGAGGCGTCTTCGGTGCCGGCAGTTGCGCTGTCACTGGATAGTGCAGAGCTGGTGCATGACTACACCATTCTGCTGCTGCGCTTCAACTCCAAGGTGCCCTGCGATTAGACAAAACGTGTCCCACACTTGGCCTTTGACATCAGACAATTCTCAATCACAGCTCCCTTACAACTTTCCTGACGTAGTAGAAAGGTGGACAGGCGTGGTACATGTTGGAATGCATTCACAGCCGAATTTCTTGTTCCTGCATTCACCATGTTGCCATGCCATATGCAACTTCTTGCCAAAATGCCATGACAATCTTGACATCTGTGAATTAGGCTAGAGAGTTTGCAGAGAATGGGACTGATGTCCCTCAGTGTGACTCGATCCTTGCAACAGCCACAGTGCAGAAGATGCTTGGATCATGGTGGTAGCGTGTTGGGCTTCATGACTTGGCTGGGTGGTTCATCCAACCTCTGTGGTGTGGCAAGGTTGAATGTTCCTCTTCTGGATCAAACTCTAGAACTGGCCAAGGATTGGCACACTGCCATCGTGCCAGTGGTTTATGGAGGGCCAAGTGCTCCAGGCTGGGAGTGAGCCTTTGGAAAGTGTTTTGAGAGATAAATTCGGCAAAGAAACTCTCACGCGTTTGGTGTCTCATTTGCATCCTTTACTTTTTAGGTTGCTTGTCCGCACTTGCCGGTGTAAGCCTTTATTTAGGTCAGACTGGGAGAAGGGCCAAGCATAGCGCCTGGACAAGCAGTATCCACGCTGGCATCAGCTTTAGCAGCCCTTTGGTTGGCAAATCCAGCCTTGGCTTTGACATGGCCAAACCGACCGCACAGATCCACATTGTCGGTCCCCCATACCCTCTTTAAATCTCTTGCACATCTTGAAGCATCCATCCCCATGAGGTGGAACCCATCAATGCTTTTTTTTGGTGGTAGAACCTTCAAATGATCTGCCGTGCAGAGGTTTTGCCTCGTGTTTCCTTTGTTTCTGGGAGCCCAGCCGAGGCAAAAGATGCCGATCCACTCACAGCGGCTGGGTCGCTCACTGCCTCTGTCACCACCAAGCTTTCGGCACTTGCACCTGAAGCGAGTCTACAGATTTGGCCTCCCCAGGTGCAACTCTGGGGATTTTGGTATGAAACAGTTTGCAGATGGGATCTGAATCTGAAGGATGTTCCCAGCTTCTGTCACCTTTCATCCTTCTTGTGCTAGGCTAAGCCCTGCAGCTCAGTGATCCTCAGTGGTGCTCAGTCAACCGGTGCAGCGGGTCGAGCATTTGTTGTGGCTTGGAGCTTTGGCAGTGCAGACGTGGCTACTGGAACCTTGCAGGTGGAGATTGAGTTTGTTTTGAGGGTGGAACACGGTGGAACATGCACGTGATCAGAAGGGAAGATGGGACGGGCACTTGTGAGCAGCTGGAACTGCCGTAGCTGGTGTTAGAACTATCACCTAACCTAGTGGAACTCATCAGGGGTGTTGCGTGTCCTCAGCTCCCCGCCGCTATCCCTGCAGGCATATTTGACTGCTGCCAGCGCCTCCAATTCTCTGAAGTTGGAAATTCCAGGCTCTGCACTGTCAGCAGCGGTATCGTCCAGCTCGGCAAGTCTGGTGCAATTCGAGATCATACTCCAAATCACCAACTGGCTTGGCCTTTCACACAATACCTCCGCCCTTTGTCCTTAAATCAGTCTAGACATTATGGTTGTGCCTCTGGCCGAAATAGGCACAGGCCAGAGTGGTTATGGTTGATCCACCCACCACGCGCACGAGAAAAATTCTTGGTGCTGCACTATCGACTTTTGAGGTGTGGTAATGCACAAGACAGGTGGTCCATGGACTTTTCTTGGCGCATTGTGCGATAGGAGATGATTGGCTTTGGCATGGCTGGATATGTTTGTGTGCATTTGTGCACGATGGCTTAGGACATCCTGACAGTAGATCGAAGTGGGATAGCAGTGCCATTGGTGTACCCGGCATCCATCACAAACCGAAGGATTCAAAGCAATCAAGCCGCGTCTTGGTTGCACTTCTTTCCTTATTGCCCTTATCAGCCCTTATCTTTTCTTTGGTTTTGGGCCCTTTGTGCTGGGAATATGGCGCGGGAGTTGGTCTTATGGGATTGCACTGGCCAGGTGACCTTCAGTATTACTACAAGGCGGGAAAGCAGGCAGTCCTTGTTTGGAGCATGTCCCAGGCAACAGTTTGATGCTTTGGCAGGCTAATCCCGCCACTCCTTCCATTCATCCGTTCATCGGTTTCTCTGTCCATGGGATCCATCATGATCCATCTATCCATATGAATTGACTATCCATTTGCTATGCGTGAAAGCATAGATTATATTATATGTCCACGTGTAGATGTTCGATAGTGGAAGGCTTGAAACGATTCAAACTTGCAGACATGGAACTTTTCAGGAAGAGACAGTCTTGTCGGGGGACAATGTGCCCTAAATCATCATTCCCATAGACGTTTTTTTCCAACGAGGAATTAACGATGGCTGGTTCAGTTGGGAAAGTCCGTCCAAGCTCTGCTTGGTACTTGCAAAGTACTGCGCACATATTTGCAGACATTGCAATTTTCCCATAAATAATTTCTGGTCGCGCTGGTGTTTTTTTCCTCCCCCTCTGTCTTTTGAGATGTTAAACTTTTGAGAAATAAGTTACAACAACATCAACAATGACGTCTTTGGCGGGATCCGCGCGTGGCCCTGCAGGTATGCTGATGAGTCAGCATGTGGCACTGAAACTTGGCCTTTGAATAGCAGAAAAATGTAAGGATTCATGGCAGAAGTGCTTGACCTTGGGTCAAGATTAGAACCTTCAGCCGTAGTCAGACAGCCAGTGCTAATCAGGTTAGTTGCCAGGAACTGAAAAATTTAAGCTCACATATCTGAAGATTGTGGGGTCAGGCAGTGGCACCGTCAGCAAGACACAGCTGCAGGCCGTCTCTCTACCAAGCAACCCCATTTCTGAGAGCTGGTCCTATCTCAATTCTTCCAGCTGGTTACCGCTGGAAAGCGCATCTTGGACATGTGGCTGTAAGTCACTGTAAGTCATGTGTGTCTACGTTGGTTCGACATTAAGTTAGCTTTTTTTTCAAGTGGTCAAAGGCAAGTCCAAAGGTCCCCAGGCAACCAGACTGCCAGCTAATCTGGTTGTTTATGTATTGTTTATCTTAACCCCCCTGGGCGACCTAGCAAAAGTAAAAGTCAAGCACTGGTGGTTGCGCAGGAGCTGGTGCACAACCTTTGATGCAACACTCCATAAATATCAGTGGTGAAGCCCACGAGCAGCAGCCAGATGGACCCTGCAAATTCATAAATATCATAAATGAAATAGCAGGATGAATCCTGGATGATAAACCATAAGCGATGAATTTACAACATCCATCATGATATATCTCCCTCCGAGTCCGAGGGTGAAAAGCACGGCAGAACCTTCCAATCTCGTCCAATTCCAACACGTGTCTGCCGAACTGCGATGCTCCCCAGGTTGTGTCGTCTGACTCTGCCAGGGAGCCCTGGAAAGTGGACCTCCCGGCATATTCCTTCGCGCCGGGATCCTCTCACCAGTTGAAGGCCACTGCATCGTATGGCTCCGGAACAGTCCGAGAACATGTGGCTTGGATGCAAAACTGGCTGTCCTTCTGGGCCATGGTGGACTGTGGTGGGCCAAGATAGGATGCTGTTGCTCAGGTCTTTGGTCTGGAAGTTTCAGCAGCACAGCCTCCAATCATTCGCATCTCTGGGCCATATGTGGTCTCTGAGACTTGTAGCTTTACACTGGATGCCCGACACAAATGAGGCGTTCAACTTTTTGTGGGATATGAATGGATATGGATGATATGAATGATATGAATGATAGATATGCTCTTATTCTTTTCTATTTTTTCTTGGCTTTGTTTAGCAAAAGGCCTTCTCCCTTAGCAACTTTTGGGGTGACCTCTGTGGAAAGTCAGGATGCTTCAGCATCTTCCGATCCTGTAGCACCTGGCACCAATGACTTGGTCTTCTATTGGTCTTGTGCTTCTGGAACTGGCACGTTTAATTGCCGCACTCTCAGCAACTTTGGACCCGGGACCTGGATATTGCAGAGCCTCAGCTTCGAATTTGTAACATGATGGATTTGATGCAGCTGCTGTTTCAAGTGGGTGATACAGTAGTTTGTGATGATATGGTCAGGGTACGCATGCGGCCTAGCTACTACTTTAAGCGCTTTTTCTCATTGTTTTGTCCAATGCTTGCCCGGAAGCCAGGAATGGCACTGGGAGTTCTGGTCCCCTCCTCATTGTGGATGGCAACCAGTTGCTGGAAGGGAATTATACCTTCACGCTGCAAGTGATTCGACAGTCGGATCAGGCTGTTAGCTCGAGTACATGGACTGTGGACGTCACAAAAACTGCCAGCATTTCGATTTCCATATCGCCCTCATGGTACGAAGGGCAACCGGTGTCAACACAAGCTAACAACGATTACAGCCCTTCAAGCACGGCATTTCTTCGGACTGGGCAGGGCTGTGGTGACAAGGAAGCTCTTTGGTCCTGGGCACTAGTGGAGGCTGATAGTCCGTTCAACATCTTGACCTACCTGGACTCTCCTTCAAATGCTTCAGAGACCTCCTATTCAGCGACCGATCTGCTGTATGACTACTTGCTTCCAAGCCAGCGCTATGCCTTGGCACTGATGGAACAGACAGATCAGACACCCTCCTCACTGGAGCAGGCAGATATGTTGGGTCTCAGTTTCTCCCGTACCGTGCCTTTCTTGGCAGATGCTCCACCTGCAGGGGGCGGCCTGACATGTGTCCCAATGCAGGGAGTCGCTGCCACAACTGAATTCTTCATTACATCCTCTGGATGGTATGACGAAGATTCTTGGCCGTACGCGACTGTTTCCCAAAACATTTCATTGAAATTCTATTGTTTTAAAAACTCGACCTTCAAACGGTCAGTTCATGTGCGACTCGCGTTCGTTCCAAGATGCGATATAGGACATTTGCAGGCAAGATCAGGGTCACCTATATTATATACTGAAGCTGCCAGAAAGCTGCAGACTTTCACTTGATTTTGTACTGCAAGGATATGAGCAATCTATCATTTGCATTTTACCGATTCCCTTTGCCCTCTGGTGTGGCTTTGGCGAGTGATGGCAGTGGAGGCTCGGACCTTTCTCCTCAGAAAAGGACCCCCCAATCCTCCAATTCTTTGTCTGAGGTCCTAATGAACGCATTAGGTTATTTTTTAGGCGATTTTGTTTTAATTTTTGTTGATGTAGCCTTGAACCTTGAATTTGTGGGGTTTTTGGAGAACAAATCATCTATGGTCCTATGGTATTCTTTCCCTTTTCAGAGGTTGAAGGTTGGATGTTGCAAGAACTTTGGGTTCCCATCTTTGCACTTGGCGTTCTGGTTTCTCTCTACTCTTGACATTGCCCTGACCCAGGCGTGTCGGTGACAGGTACCTTCAGCCCACCAGAGGTAGAATGGAAGGACACCAGCAGTGCAACTTGGATGGATGAAAGCAACCCTTATCATCCTTGGCACTTCATACTCATATGCGTTCACGCGGTTTCTCTTAGTGCCATTGAGATCATTGAGGTGATAAGTTCACTAGATAAAAGTCTTTTCTGCAGTGGGTGAGTTGTCGTAGCCTACAGCTACAGATCCAGCTGAGGCCAACCATTGGATGAACTTGGGAGGCGTTTGTTTGGGGTACAGCCAGTTGCCTTTGCAGCTTCGCTTGCCTGCTGGGCAGCACATGCTGGCGGTGGTGGTGCAGGATAGCCAGGGGGCCGTGGGGAGACTCAGGAGATCAGTTCGGGGAAGCACCCTGAAATGCACTGAGAACACGCTGAGGGCATGCGGAGTGCACTTCGAATCCCTTAGACACTTTGTAATTTCTGGGGACTAACAGCTACTAAGCAGCTACTAAGCAGCTACTAAGCAGCTACTAAGTAGCGACTAGCAGGTCCTGGTTGTATGTGATCATGCCACTGGGGAGGCATTTTGATTCACTTGTGCACACCGTCATGATGCCTCAAATGACTGCACATTTTCAAAAGCACTCTTAAATGATTTGCCTGTCGTTTTGTCCACTGATCTCGGTATATTCATTTTTTTTTTGTTTATTTTTTCCGAAGGCTCATGAACTGGAACCGCATCAGCATTGAAGGCATTGTGGTTTTGCCAAGGTTCTTGTAGAAAAGTCCTCAGCCGGTTTTCAATGTGAGGTGTACATCCATTGTTCAAGAACGTAGGGTTAGTTCAAGGAGTCTTGGTTCTTTGCCATAGTGCTCGCCCGGAAATTACTGTATTCAGCGCATATCCGCTAGCCTTCACGGCCTCATGAAACTATAACTAGAAGAACCACAACGGTGTGTAGTTTGACTGCCCGCGATACTTGCATTCAACAGAACGGCAAGTCTGCATTCAATGCCGCACAGCTCTTGCGTTTTGTTCTTGTGTCTTCAATGTCGATTTGTGTAGATCATCAAAGACCTATGGGAAGTTGTCCAAAGAGTATATATTTCAATTAAATGCTTGGGTTCAATCCTCACATTGCATTGCCAATACGGGCCGTCCATGGTCATCCCATATTTTAGGAGTATAGATGGCGGGCTAGGATTGCACAGAAGAAAACAGATCGTATAACAGATCATACTACTCAACCGGGTGTCGTTGGATGAACCAAGTCACACACTGAGCTACAAAAAGGGAACAGCAATTCTGACAGGATCACAATGGATCAAGCTTCTGCAGTGTTTCGATTCACAGCGTCACCATATTCAATGCTCGAAAAAAATACTGTACATCCTGTTTGGCAGGCCGGGGGATTATCCTTTTCCAGCGGTAGTGATGATCCCAGCGATGTTGAAGGACATTTCTGGACAGACTGCAGCCCCAGGTCAGCAGTACCTTCATGGCTGGTCCTTTGGTGACGGTGTCCCCATCTGTTTCTGAAGTAGAGCTTGGCCTTTCCGTCTCATTGGTCTCAAACAACGCAGAGATTATCCTCAGCATGTTGGATGCGACTTTGACGGAGCAAGTGGATACCAGCAAGGAGGTGTGGGTGTATCCTGGTGTGATTGTTTTGAACCAATCACATATAGGCACAAACATATACAAGTAATTATACACACGCATAGTGTATATATATATACAGTGTATATATATACACAGTATATACATACACAATATACTTTTGCAGTGTATTTAGCTTCCACGGGCTAAATGGTTTGCCCGGATGCTGGATGATAGCATTGAGCTCATCCAAGTTTCAAAAGACTAAGGCATCATTTCTTTGGATCCATTTGGTACCACAGGTAGTAGGCGTAAGGTCTGCACCATCAGGTGCAAGCATTTGCCACTGCAGCCTCCATTGCGGACTTGTCTCCTGGCAACAGAGCGTGAGGTGATGGAGCCTTTCTATTTTGGAGAGGTAAACTAGGCAGGTTTCGCCTTGGTACTTAAAATGTACTCGGGAAGGGTTTGGCTTGAATGCCTGATTTGCGGGTGTCGATTCTTCACTGCACGCAAATTCCGGTCCCCCGCTGTATTGTCAATTGTTTGATGATGTTCTTGGTACACAAGGCCCTCACTTGCCACAATGATTCAAAGCAACCGGTTCCCCGCGACAAGTCTTTCACTTCTCCTCCAACATCACTATTGTATCCAGCTGACAGTGCTTCGTAGTCTTGTCTCGACTGCTCCAGCAGCTTTCTCGGCAACTCTGATGCCCCTTTTACTGCACTCCCATCAGCGCTCCTCAACGCTTCTCCTCACATTTGTAAAATTGTTCTGCCAAACATCTCTTAACCACTGCTTTCCTGCTGTAAAATTTCTCCAAACAGTCCTTTTTGAACTTCCTCGAGTGTTCTTCTCCCAGCAGTGTCTCGCAACGCTTTTCTGAGTATTCTTTTCTTTTTTCGTAGAAGACGCTCACACAGTTTTTGTACCATTGAGACTCCGTCACGAGTCCAACACACTCTTCTTCCGACTCTTCTGTCAGGTCGCAATGTTCGTGTTGAGGCTCTCTTGGAACACTCTTTCAATCTCTTTCAACTACCAGTTTTCATCTTTTTCCTATGGGAGAGTAGACTGCGTTTTTTTGTCGTTTGTTCTGGGCATATTGCTCACAACGTGTTGCCTCATCATAACATTTTCAACTGACCCACTGCACATGGCTCTGCGATTTCAAGGTCAGAGACCGGGCTCTGCCGCCTGAGCAGAGTTGTCCTTTGGCAGAACAGGATACGGAGTTTGTGACCCGTTTCATCCCAGCCGTCCCACCTCAAACCGAGATATGTCACGGGAAGAATCACGCGGAACAATTCCTGCATTGAATCCAAGGCCAACAATCTGCTAGCAGACGCCACGCCAGCAACAGCGGAGTCCATTTCAGGAGCCGTCAGCACCGTCCTTGCTGCTGCGCTGCAGTGTATTTAGCACATTTTAGCACTTGATTTGAAAGGAACTTCGCAGAGTATTGACAGGTATTGGCAGGTATTGACATATATTGACAACTCTGTCAAGGAATTGAGTCAAAGCTTCTACGAATCCTTGAGCTTCTAGGTTGTGTTGTGCAATGTTGTGCATTTGATCGGGTTTACGTTTGTGTCGTACATTGTTGTAGTGGCTCCAAGGCTGACATCGTGCAGATCCCTTCAGTTGGTGTGAATCGGCTACTGAGCGTCGTCTTCTCTGTGGCCACCTCGTATTCAGCAGCAGAGCTCGACGAGGTGCACAACTCATCCGTCAGATCCGTTGTATCCGTCGTCTCCGTCTCCTATCCCTGACATAAAATTCACAGAAGCCACAGAAGTGCCAACAAGAGCGGATGCCTAGGTCTGACATGCGGATGCACTGACTTGCCATTTGCCGCTAGGTGATTCTGCGAACCCAGCAACTGAACTCATTGGCTATGGAACTTGGAAATGCCATCCTTGCCACAGTTTCAGTTCATGGTTCGCAAAATCTTAGCTATGTGGATGCAACTGGAAGGGGCTCCTCGAATCAAGTTCTCGGAGTAGGTTTGGGACTCGATAAGCTTGGGTGAAGTGGAGCGGCAAGTCGAACTGGATTTGTAACTTTTCTTTGGAGGGTAATGGAGGGTATCTGGTATTCACGAAAGGTAGCTCCAGAGGGGCTATTGAGTTTTACTTTACGAAGTAAAGGGGAGGGCGGCCAGCCCCGTTACCTGATTCTTCAGGAGATTGCTAGTCATTTTAGTACCCCCCCCCCCTCCACACCTCCCACGCACCCTAAGAGCAGACTCAAAATACTGTAATTTACAGTATTTTTGTTCTTTTCGGATCAAGAAACCACATTTTGCTACATGGTGAAACCTCCGTAAATACCAGTGTTTTTGCTAGGTGCTGGCCAAAAAACACTGTAAATACCGTGCTTTTTACTACCAGAGGCAAAAAACATCGTAAATACCGTGGTTTTGGGCTTCCGACCCACCAAAAACATTGGTATTTACGGGGTTTTTTGCTCCGAGCGATGCACAAACACGCGAAAACACAACCGATTTCACGATTTTCGGCCACTACGGAACCGAGCAAAAACGCTGCAGGGGTAACACCAACACCGACAAGAACAACACCAACAGCAACAGCAACAGCAACAACAACAACAACAACGACGACAACAACAACAACAACAACACCAACACCAACACACAACGCACAACGCACAACGCACAAAGCACAAAGCACAACGCACAACGCACAACGCACAACGCACATCACACAACACACAAAACACACAAAACACACACAACACACACAACACACACACAACACACACAACACACACAACACACACACAACACAGAACACAGAACACACACAACACACACACACAACACACATACAACACACACACACAACACACACACAACACACACAACACACGCAACACACGCAACACACACAACACACACACACAACACACACAACACACACAACACACACACAATACACACTGCTGAATTGGGTTTGAAATGGACCGTCATGTGAATGATCTCGTTCTCGCCTTGAATTCCTTAGAAACCTGGCCAACACTGCTGATAGAAATTGCACCCTACTCTACCAAACCGCTGTAACACAGGAGAGCTTCCAAACTAGCTCGGTACTATGCTAGCACAATGCTAGCACAATGCATAAAAACCGCTAAAAATTATAGCGCAATGCCATGCCGATGCAGCACATGAAGACTCCCGAATCAGCTCGATGCCATGCAAGTACAATACATTTTTTTTTTAAAGTATGGCTCAGTGCCATGCCGAAGCAACACATGAAGGCTCCCGAATCAGCTCAATGCTATGCAAGTACACTATATGAGAATTTCCAAACTATAGCTCAGTGCCACGCCAATGCAACATGAAAGATCCCCAATCAGCTCGGTGTCATGCCAGCGCAACACATGAAGGTTCCCCATTTGCTCGGTGCCATGCCAGCGCAACACATGAAGGTTCCCAAATGAGCTCAGTGCCATGCCAGCGCAATACATGAAGGCTCCCGAACAAGCTCGATGCCATGTCAGCGCAATACATGAAGGCTCCCGAACGAGCTCAGAAACAAAAAAACTGCTAGTGCAAGCAATAGAGGAGACAGTACGAAATGTGAAATTCTTTCTTAAAGCAAACAGCGTCATAGAGGAACAGAAATCAACAGTTCGATTCGCAGGTACGTGCAGTTGATCAGACTGCATATCCTCTCCAAACATCAGTAGCTTCGTTGGCCACGGACTGATGAATGGAGCCGTGGCCCCCTGCTCTGCTTTCACTTCAAGGGTTAAAGTACGTATGTATATGAGTTTGTGCCTGCATGTGATAGCAGGATTCACACACACACTGGGCCCGATAGGGCCATTAAGTAGAACGAAACAAGCAACTTTTGGAGTTTTGGAGTTCTAAGCGGGATCATGTCTTTACTTATTTGAAGTGCCAAGCTTGAGCTGAAACCAAATGGTCACAACATGTTTGGTGCAATTTCAACTGTGCAATTCTGATGCTTTCAGGAGCAGTCTGTCATGTACATGTTCTTGTCAGGGAAATTTATGATCATGAAGAAGAAGCACCAATGTCAACGGAGGAAGGAAAGAGTATCAATCCGACATCTTGTACATGCGCAATGTCAGCCCTGTTTTCATCCTCGTTACCAATCTAGGCGTACTGAAGCAGCTGGTTTTTGGTCATGTGTGGAAAACGTATTCTGCAAAGTTGCAGCGCCTCATCGATACATCGGAAATATTCTGGATCAACATGTAAATGTAATGCAAAAATATCTTGAAGTTGCGCCCAGCAGACGTGTGCAGGTTGTGAATGCTGAACGATCAATCTCATCGGAGCCAAAAGCCCAGAGGTAACACTGCGTGATGGACCAATTCCTGTATGAGTACGAATGATCTTATCCCATGGTAGTTGATATGTCAAAATGGGATTCAGTACTACGCCAATGTGAAGGAATCTCAAATGGTGTTGGTCGCGTGGACTGATGTCTTCTGGGGCTACGAGTACGATGCCGGAACCTTTGCTGTGGAGAGCGATGTTGTCGATGTCTGGAAGACCTATGGGATCGTGACCTTGCTTGTCGTGAATGACGTCGACGAGATCTCGAACGAGAATAAAGATCCATCACTAAGGCTAAGGCGAACTGCGGACTGAGATCGCTACCCACACTGTCACTCTAAGGGCTTGACAACAAAAGTGCATGTGGGCGAAAAGTATGTCCAATTTGTCACAACATCTCACCTATTGGTATAACACTATACTCGCCACTTTTGGTAGCTTGAAATGAGAAATCAAAACGACAAAGCTAAAAGTGAAAACCCGGATTTTGCGAGGGGATCAAACTGTGAACATCACTTCAAGAAGTTAATCGCCAAACAAACATCAAATTGATTCAATTTGCCATTCCTGTTTCACACTCACTGATAACATAATCACCGCAAACGGCTCTATCACTCTGTACTGTTGATATGACAGCCACATCTTCCGCTCACAAAATCGCAACAGAAATGCAAGGGCACATGGTGAATATATCATTTTGGCGCTGTGCTCACAAATTAATCTAAACATATCTAAATATACACGGCTATGCCCTTGACTTGCGCTAACTGGGATCTGAAAATCCAGCGCCGATCAGAAGCATTATGACAAGCATCCCAAAAGAGACTTGCGGCATGATCCGCACAAACGCCTCCCGCATGTATGGTGCAGTGCTGGTGCTGTCGCGAATATGCAACTCCAAAAATACTGGTGGGGCGAGTTGCGTCTGAGAAATGTGAATATGCCATTGCCTTTCGGAATGTTTCTTTCAGTGATCGTTTGACGTCTTCTTCACGGTCACTGTTACTCATGCTCCCCCTGGAATAGAAACCAGGAACTGGCAACCATTGAGCTTGATGTTCGGCAGCAGCTGAAGGTCGAATATACCCGTCCCGTAGAATGGCACAGGCAGTCAAAATACTACTATTGTGTGCAAAGGTAAAAACAGAGGGAAATTGAGGAGCATCACCAACTGTCTTGAAGGTAGGAATGTCCAAATGGAGAATCACAGCCCCTTTGAACTTCGTGGTCGTAGAGTCCGCTGAATGTGAAAGCTGAATAAATTCTGCTTTCTGAAACTTCTCAATCAAAGTTGGAAAAGAATTCATTGTTTTGCTAAGCACAAAACATGCCTCCTTGAGAGTATGAAAGTCACCAGGAAATGTTGAACGAATTTGATCTGCCAAGAAGTCCCCAAAAAGGCGTAGCCTGGATGGTAATCTCCGGTTCCAATATAAACCACCGCTTGCGAGTATAATATTCTGGATTTGGGGGGTACTTATGTGACGTTTCCACTAACCGACCAAGTTCCAAAGCATTCGCAAGTCTCTCAGAAACTTGAAACAAGTCTGCATGTAACCGTTCATTGAGTAAATAATATACTTCTTCCCATACGCACTGCTGAAAATTTCCGCGGGTCAGAGGCTGAAGGACATCACAGAAGAAGCCAGCAAGTATTGGTGTAACAAAACACTGTCGACACAATGGGTGTCCAACTTCCAAGACTCGTTCTGTGCCGTCTTTCCAGCGAAAATCATGCACCGTCATGTCTGTCAGTCTTTGAATCGTTGTGTATTCAGTGTATTTGATCTTTCCATGAAAATCATGTGTCTGAACTCTTGCACCATGTAAACGAGGTTTATACTTGGCAGGCTGGCTTTGAGGCGAAGACGAGTTCAAATCTGAGGCAGCTGCGGTTCCAACACCTTCTGAGGTTAAGACTGCGTCATGGCCACTCCCTCTTGCGACCGATTGAGAAGCACTTCCAACTTTGTTAGGTTCTGCCACTGTGAAGGGGGCTAACATTTCGGGCATCATGAGGTTGGGAACGGGCATCACAGAGGGAAAAATAGGTTGATATGCCGTTTGAGCTATCTGGGTCAAAGCGAGTTGTGCTTCCACTTGACTTAGACGATCCATCATCTGAGTAAGTTGTTGAAGACCCTGTGCGTCCGAGACTTCAAGCCGGTATTCACCCAGCTGTCCCCGCACACTCAAACTCGCTATTGGTCTAGGTGGTGAATTGACTGTGGGACTCACATGAACCTGGGGTTGAACCTGCGCAGGTGGTGGAGGCAATGGTGGTAACCAAGACATCGTGAAAGGACCGTGTTGTCGTTGACCATCATATTGAGGAGGCGGACCCCCAGCACTTTTTGACGGCATGGCTATAGCAGCTAAAGAAACAGTGGTTTGCCAGCATCAAGTAACACATAATAACAAATTAACACATAGTAACAAATTGCAAATATCAAGTGATACAAAACATTTTTGCGCGCATCAAGGTACACATAACAAAATTCAGAAATTTCTCGGAACAGCCCATCATGTTCTGCACATGCGTTATCATGAAGGTCATACATGCACGATTTATCAAATACCCAAGCTTGATGCCTCACACAAGCATGCAGAATTCAAACTCCGAACTTCCCACGGAATGATGTAATGCAAAGAGAAGCACTGGTTTGGTTATTTAGACCAAAGGAACACACACTGACACACACATGCACACACATACAACCAAGTCTTTGCATGGTGGACTGAGTGCCGCAACATCCATGTATCAGTTAGTCTTCGCCTTAAGGCTCCTTCACCGCTAGGCGTCCTTCACCTCTAGGCGTCCTTCACCGCTAGGCGTCCTTTTGAGTGCCGCTAGGCTGTTCTTCGCCCATTTGGGCTCCTTCTACTGTCATCTACATGACAGTCATCCTACACGACACGCTAATGTGTCGCGAGATAATCCTTGAGCTGGGACGAATCCCTGCGATGGTGTCGGCATAATCTGCCGTGCACCCAGTACACACTGCTGAATTGGGTTTGAAATGGACCGTCATGTGAATGATCTCGTTCTCGCCTTGAATTCCTTAGAAACCTGGCCAACACTGCTGATAGAAATTGCACCCTACTCTACCAAACCGCTGTAACACAGGAGAGCTTCCAAACTAGCTCGGTACTATGCTAGCACAATTCTAGCACAATGCATAAAAACCGCTAAAAATTATAGCGCAATGCCATGCCGATGCAGCACATGAAGACTCCCGAATCAGCTCGATGCCATGCAAGTACAATACATTTTTTTTTTCAAAAAGTATGGCTCAGTGCCATGCCGAAGCAGCACATGAAGGCTCCCGAATCAGCTCAATGCTATGCAAGTACACTATATGAGAATTTCCAAACTATAGCTCAGTGCCACGCCAATGCAACATGAAAGATCCCCAATCAGCTCGGTGTCATGCCAGCGCAACACATGAAGGTTCCCAAATGAGCTCGGTGCCATGCCAGCGCAACACATGAAGGTTCCCAAATGAGCTCAGTGCCATGCCAGCGCAATACATGAAGGCTCCCGAACAAGCTCGATGCCATGTCAGCGCAATACATGAAGGCCCCCGAACGAGCTCAGAAACAAAAAAACTGCTAGTGCAAGCAATAGAGGAGACAGTACGAAATGTGAAATTCTTTCTTAAAGCAAACAGCGTCATAGAGGAACAGAAATCAACAGTTCGATTCGCAGGTACGTGCAGTTGATCAGACTGCATATCCTCTCCAAACATCAGTAGCTTCGTTGGCCACGGACTGATGAATGGAGCCGTGGCCCCCTGCTCTGCTTTCACTTCAAGGGTTAAAGTACGTATGTATATGAGTTTGTGCCTGCATGTGATAGCAGGATTCACACACACACACCCACACACACACACACACACACACACACACACAACACACACACACACAACACACAACACACACAACACACACAACACACACAACACACACAACACACACAACACACACAACACACACAACACACACAACACACACACAACACACACAACACACACAACACACAACACACACACCACACACACCACACACACCACACACACAACACACAACACACAACACACAACACACACAACACACAACACACACAACACACAACACACAACACACAACAAACCATAACAACCACCACAACTCACAACACACACCACAACGACAATCAAGCACACAACAACCACAACAAAACCACATACATACACATACAACCCACCAACCACAAAAGCTTTACAACGACAACTAATTAACAATAACAACAAAAACAACACACAACTAACTAACACAACAACACACAACAGAAACACAACAACACAAACACAAACAACACACACAACCACACATACACAAACACATACCAAGACACACAACAATCACACAACGTAACACACAATAACCGACCAAACACAAACGATAACCACAACAACCACCATACAACACAAAAACAATACATCTACAACAACCACACACTACCACAACCACCCACATACAACAACCGACCTACATTTACACCAACAACACACAACAACACATACACTCATAACACACAACAACACACAACAACACAACAACACACAACAACACACAACAACACACACAACAACACACAACAACAACACACAACAACACACACACACAACAACAACAACACACAACAACACACCACAACACACAACAACACACAACAACACACGCAACACACAACAACACAACAACACAACAACAACAACAACACCAACAACACACAACAACACACAACAACACACAACAACACACAACAACACACAACAACACACAACAACACACAACAACACACAACAACACAACAACACACAACAACACACAACAACACACAACAACACACAACCACACACAACAACACACACACACAACAACACACAACAACACACCACAACACACAACAACACACAACAACACACAACAACACACAACAACACACAACAACACACAACAACACACAACAACACACAAGAACACACAACAACACACAACAACACACAACAACACACAACAACACACAACAACACACAACAACACACAACAACACACAACAACACACAACAACACACAACAACACACAACAACACACAACAACACACACAACAACACACACAACACACAACAACACACACAACAACACACAACAACACACAACACACACAACAACACACAACAACACACAACAACACACAACAACACACAACAACACACAACAACACACAACAACACACAACAACACACAACAACACACAACAACACACATCAACAACAACAACAACAACACGAACACAAACAATACCAACACCAACAACACGACCAACAACAACAACACCACCAACAAACCCAACCACACCAACAACACAAACAACACTAACAACACCAGAAACACTACCACCAATACCAACAACACCAATACCAACAACACCAACAACACCAACACCACCAGCACCACCAACACCACCAACACCACAACCGCCACCAACCCCAACCACATCGCCGAAGCCTTTCAGTCGCTTTTACCAGACTCCCCTTCATATTTTTGGAAAGAAACTGGCCGCGTCGCTTTTACCAGACTCCACTTTATGTTTTTTACCCTGCCCTCTCCCCTTCATTTTTTCTTCGGTTCCTTTCTTGCTTACCTACCTTTCGTGTTCCCCCTCTCAAGTTTCATTACGGCGGGTCGTGGTATCGGGGTTGCACGGATGGGCATGTTCAGTGCTTCTTGGTTGCGAGGAAGACCGAACCCCCCCTTGGAATCAAGGCCTCCAAGTTTATGTTGCGAAGAAGAGAGTGCGTGATTTGCCATATGATGGCATTTCTGTTGGAGGCCGGAGATGGGTATTGTTTCTTCACTGCATCGCCATTGCTTTGTGCTGCTTCAAACCATAGGGTCTTTGGTTTTAGACGCGCAGGACTTCGGATGCCAGACTACGCCTTCCAAACAGCACCGCTGTTGAGCTACCTGTTGGAGGCCCCGTATCTCCCATCCGTCCCAGTGTCCCATGACATCGGATCCGGATTCGTCAGCCAGGTGGGCCCAGCGTGCTCCACAGTGGAGGTGCAGTTGACCACCTGGTTGAAGAGTCACTTGGCTGCATGATGCTCTTTATCAATCTTTATGGTACGTGGAATCTATCTATCTATCTGTCTGTTTGTCTGTCTATCTGTCTATCTGTCTATGTGTCTATCAGTCTATCTGTCTATCTATCTGTCTGTTTGTCTGTCTATCTGTCTATCTGTCTATGTGTCTATCAGTCTATCAGTCTATCTATCTGTCTGTTTGTCTGTCTATCTGTCTATCTGTCTATGTGTCTATCAGTCTATCTGTCTATCTACCTGTCTGTTTGTCTGTCTATCTGTCTATGTGTCTATCTGTCTATCTGTCTATCTATCTGTCTATCTATCTGTCTATCTATCTGTCTATCTATCTGTCTATCTACCTGTCTATCTATCTGTCTATCTATCTGTCTATCTATTTATATAATCTTATCATATCTAATCTTATCTAATCTTATCTAATCCTATCTAATCTTATCTAATATTTTCTAATCTTATCTAATCTAACCTCATCTTTTCTTTATCTAATCTTTATCTTACCTTACCTTATCTTATCTTATCTATCTACCTACCCATCTATCTATCTATCTTTTTTATTTCTTTCTTCCTTCCTTCCTTTTCTTATCTATCTTATCTTATCTCATCTGTTCTCATCCTATCTTATCTTCTCTTATCTTATCTATCTTATCTATCTTGTCTGTCGCATCTATCTCATCTATCTAATCTATCCAATCTATCAAATTGTCTATCTAGTCTATCTAATGTATCTAATCTATCTAATGTATCAAATTTATCTAATGTATCTAACCTACCCAATCTACCTAATCTAATCTATCTAATCTATCTAATCTATCTAATCTATCTAATCTATCTAATCTATCTAATCTATCTAATCTATCTAATCTATCTCATCTATCGAGTCTATCTCATCTATTTAATCTATCTAGTGTATGTATGTGTTAACTAATTAATCTATCCGATCTTCTACCTAATTTTTCTAACCTATTTATCTAACCTATCTAATCTTCTGTCTAATCTTCTACCCAATCTTCTATCTAATCTATCTATACATCTATCTAATCTATTTAATTTATCTAATCTATCTAATCTATCTAACCTTTTATCTATATAACTAACCTTTTATCTATTCTATCTAATCTTCTATCGAACATATTTAATCTATCCAATCTTTTACCTACTCTATCTATTTTTTTATCGAATCTATCTAATCTATCCATTTTTTCTAATCTATCTAATCCATTTAATCTTCTATCTAATCTATCTCATCTATCTAATCTATCTAATTTATCTAATCTATTTAATCTATTTACCTAATCTAATCTATCTAATCTATCTAATTTATCTAATCTATCTAATCTATCCAGTCTATCTAACCTACCTAATCTATCTAATGTATCTGATCCATCTAATGTATCTAATGTATCTAATCCATCTAATCTATTTAATCTCTCTGATTTCTCTAATCTCCCTAATCTCTCTAATCTCTAATCTATCAAATCTCTCTAATCTCTCTAATCTATCTAACCTATATAATATTTCTAATCTATCTAATCTTTCTAATCTATCTAATCTATCCAATCCATCTAACCTACCTAATCTATCTAATTTAATTAATCTATCTAATCCATCTAATCTATCTAATCTTTTTGATTTATCTACTCTGTCCTATCTATTTATTTATTTGTCCATCTGTCTAATCTGTCTAATTTATCTAATCTGTCTAATGTATCTAATCTTTCAAATCTGTTTAATTGTTCTAATCTGTCTAATCTGTCTAATCTGCCTAATCTGCCTAATCTGTCTATCTATCTATCTATCTACCTTTCTATCTATCAGTTTATCTATCTATAAATCTATCAATCTATCTGTCTACCTATCTATCTATCTACCTATCTATCTATCAATCTATCAATTTATCAGTCTATCTATCTATCTATCTATTTATCTATCTATCTATCTATCTGTCTATCTATCTATCAATCTATCAATCTATGAATCTATCAACCAATCAATCTATCTATCTTTCTATATTTCTATCCATTCTATCTATTCTACCTATTCTATCTATCTATCTTTCTATCTGTTTATCTGTCTATCTGTCTATCTGTCTATCTGTCTATCTATCCATCTATCTATCTATCTATTTATGTATCTATCTATCTATTTATTTATTTATTTAATCTATCTATTCTATTCTATTCTAATTCTAATTCTATTCTAATTCTATTCTATTCTATTTTATTCTATTCTATTCTAATCTATTCGATTCTATCGATTCTATCGATTCTATCGATTCTATCGATCCTATCGATCCTATCGATCCTATCGATCCTATCGATCCTATCGAACCTATCGATCCTATCGATCCTATCGATCCTATCGATCCTATCGATCCTATCGATCCTATCGATCCTATCGATCCTATCGATCCTATCTATCCTATCTATCCTATCTATCCTATCTATTCTATCTATCCTATCTATCCTATCTATCCTATCTATCCTACCTATCCTATTTATTCAATCTATTCAATCTATTCAATCTATTCTATCTATCTATTCTATCTATTCTATCTATTCTACCTATTCTATCTTTTCTATCTATCTATCTATCTTTCTTATCTTATCTATCTTATCTTATCTATCTTTTCTTATCTATCTTATCTTATCTATCTTATCTTATCTATCTTATCTTATCTTATCTATCTTTTCTTATCTATCTTATCTTATCTATCTTATCTGATCTATCTTATCTGATCTTATCTATCTGATCTTATCCATCTTATCTTATCTATCTTATCTTATCTATCTTATCTTATCTATCTTATCTTATCTATCTTATCTTATCTATCTTTTCTTATCTATCTCATCTTATCTATCTCATCTTATCTATCTTACCTTATCTATCTCATGTTATCTATCTGATCTTATCTATCTAATCTATCTAATCTATCTAATCTATCTAACCTATCTAATCTATCTAAACCAGCAATCCTATCTAATCTATCTATCCTATCTATCCTATCTATCCTATCTTTCCTATCTATCCTATCTTTCCTATCTATCCTATCTATCCTATCTATCCTATCTATCCTATCTATCCTATCTAATCGAATCTGATCGAATCTGATCTAATCTGATCTAATCTGATCTAATCTGATCTAATCTGATCTAATCTGATCTAATCTAATCGAAATCTAATCGAAATCTAATCTAAATCAATCTAAATCAATCTAAATCAATCTAAATCAATCTAAATCAATCTAAATCAATCTAAATCTATCTAAATCAATCTAAATCAATCTAAATCAATCTAAATCAATCTAAATCTATCTAAATCTATCTAAATCTATCTAAATCTAAATCTATCTAAATCTATCTAAATCCATCTAAATCTATCTAAATCTATCTAAATCTATCTAAATCTATTTAAATCTATCTAAATCTATCTAAATCTATCTAAACCAATCTAAATCTATCTAACTCTATCAAAATCTATCAAAATCTATCAAACTCTATCTAACTCTATCTAAATCTATCTAAATCTATCTAAATCTATCTAAAATCAATCTAAATCAATCTAAATCAATCTAAATCAATCTAAATCTATCTAAATCTATCTAAATCTATCTAAATCTATCTAAATCTATCTAAATCTATCTAAATCTATCTAAATCTATCTAAATCTATCTAAATCTATCTAAATCTATCTAAAATCTATCTAAAATCTAAATCTATCTAAATCTATCTAAATCTATCTAAATCTATCTAAATCTATCTAAATCTATCTAAATCTATCTAAATCTATCTAAATCTATCTAAATCTATCTAAATCTATCTAAATCTATCTAAATCTATCTATCTACCTATCATCTATCGATCTATCTATCCATCCATCCATCCATCTATCCATCTATCCAATATGTACGGCACAATTTTGTGTATATATATATGTATATGTGATATTGTTTACTTCCTACCTGCTTTGGGCCTTGTGTCATTTGAAGTCTAGCATTCTGAGAGTGGATGACAAGATAGTGAGCCTTGATTTCGTTTCTGCATTTCCAGAACCCGCTTGACTGTGACAGTAGATGAGAGCAGGCAACCCCTATTCCTGGGCCAACAACGTGAGCAATGAGAGCACCCACGTAGCCACGCTTGTCACCACCGATGCTACTGTGGTTGTGCCGCTTGCTCACTCATACGAATTCATACGCTTCAGGTAGGCAGACTCTGAACTGAAGGCATCACAAGAATTCACAAGACAAGTGCCTGGTCACTCTCGTTTCTGATTTTTTAATTAACTAATCACCAAATTTGACCCTCTGTTTGGCAAGTCTTGTTTGCATTGCACTTCTATTTACTGTTACACCAAGGGTGTGATATTGACATAGCATGGTATAGCCATTTTTAGACAAGGTTTAAAAACTAGACTCGATTTGGCCAAACGGGGAGAAATCTGTCGGTTTCCGTGTTTTGCTGCGTTGTGACTTAGAGCCCAGGCTTGAAATACGTCATTGCTTGAGCCAAGAGATCCTCAACCTGACCAATCGGCAGCTCACGCTTTCGCTGCCACTGCCAGACATGCCAACAGAGCCCCCACCTTCAGGGTAACTTGTTCTGAACGGCGGGGTGGTTGGAGCAAGGCAAGTCGGATAAGTTGCTCCATGACTTGTATACATGGGAGCATCAGCCTGTAGGGGGGAGAGACATACAATACAATGGCATACGCACGCAGGGTTATGTACAGGTCAAAAAAAAAGTCAGATCGTGCATGGGTTAGGTGTATATAATGCAGGTAAATGCATCACGACAACACTTGCGTTTTATTTGCAATGGTTCCGGACCGACATGGGGACTGCCGGAAACCCTCGGCTTTGCATGTTGCCCGCGCATGCCCCCCCACTAAATGACAGGTACCTCTACGAGGCGACTTGCGCCGTTTTCGATCCCGACAAGTTGCAATGGACCAGACAAGGACTTCGCTCGAAGCAATTGCAGGTATCTTGGTCACTATTTAGAACCGGTGGTGCGTGTGAGTGCTGTCGATGTCTTTCTTTCTATAGTTCAGTAGGGTTTTGGTTTTATGCAAAGATCAGTTAGCGTTCCTTTTGATTTCAGCTGACTAGGGTTGCTTGAGGAGACTGTGGAATGCACTGTCGCCAGCGGAAACGGCGTCGCCATTCCCTTCACCGTCTTTTACATGCCAATGCCAGTGCCCGAAGAAGATGAACCAGTGAATGTGGGCATAATGGTAGGCGCGGGTGGCCCAGATAACTGCTTTTCCAAAGTGAGAATTGATGCAAGAAGTGATGTGCAGGAACTTGGTTGGCAGCATGATTTTTGTAGTTGCAAGCCGTGGAGATGCTTTGCTGACAGTTGCCATCATTGTCTTCTTCTTGTGCTTGGGGGCTGTAGCCTGGAGCAACGGGCAGAAGGGAGCGGACAAGGCGCGAAAGAAAGTAACTAGTCCGCCCCCTCGAACACCTCTGAAAAGATGTGCTTGGAGGCATCGCCAGTGCCAAAAAGAAAGGTTTGAAAGTTGAAATGTCCATTGGTATTTGCATTGGCCACACTTTTGCGACATATGGATGACCGAGCTCCGGATTCTGATCAGCTTATCACAATCTGAATCAGCAAGGTTGGATGAGGTTCAACCAACATGCTTCAAGACCTTTCTATGCTCTTACCCTCCAGATCCTTCTGGAAAGGTGGCCCCGGAGGATGACAGTATAGCTCCCCCGGAGAAAGCAGAAGAATCTGCATCTGCAGTGTCCGCACCTAAGGGTCGCCACGAAATCTGAAAATGCGAAAATATATGTGAAAAACAACAGCTTACTGTACATCATTTCCATCATTTTTCATCAGTTTTGGCCAATGGACGCCCCAAATGCCTAGGCAGGAGGTGCCAGAGGCCTCGCCAGTGGTGCCAGATCCTGTGGCCCCTGCTGAGCTGGCAGAGGCCTCGGTGCCGGTTGAGCCACAAGCCTCGGTGCCCAGATCTGGGCCCGGCAACGAAGCCATCGTCGCTCGCCTGCAGCCGGTCGCGCAAGGGATCAGGGCCTGGTATGGATTCATTAAAGGATTTGCGGTATGGGTCCAGTTGTTAGCTGTATGGTAACTCTTGGTGGCCGGGTAACTCAGGAGGCCCACTTTCAGGACTGGGAGAAGGAAGTCTCGCCCAAGTCCACGACCACGCCAGCAGCAGGTTGGGACATTTGCGCCCGTCCCGCTTTTAGTGTCCTTGCCCGGGGTGATTCAGGGAGTAGTTGAGTAACTAAGAGCACGGCCTTTAGATGGCCGTGTGTTTTTTAGTCATGGGATGTTGTTGATCATGTTTGATGTGCTCGTGCCAATAAGAATTCGTGCGATTTTGGTGTGAAGGCCGTGAACGCCTTGGTTCCAAGCAGAAAAATGAAAACAGTCATTTCGCCTACGCGAAATTTCCATGTTGGGGTTTTCTTCAAAGCCACCAACTAATTCGTTTTCACAATTTTGCGGCCGTCTTTTGTTCACAGCAGCGTTTCAAGTTCTTCCAAGAACCTTTTGATCTGGATCCGATTGGATTCTGCAAGCTTGATCGCCAGCACCACATGAACACATATTGTGGCATGGAGGGATGCGAAGTGCAATGGCCACGCTGGTTGCATTTCAAAACCATGTGAGCTGGCAAGAAAGCTTTCAAAGACTTACGGTAGCGTAGCATGACGTATGTGTGGAAGTCCAAGAGAACACACAGTGGCGTAGCATGACGTATGTGTGTAAGTCCAAGAGAACGTGCAGTAGCGTAGCATGACGTATGCGTGGAAGTCCAAGAGGACATACAGTAGCGTAGCATGACGTATGTGTGGAAGTCCAAGAGAACGTACAGTAGCGTAGCATGACGTATGCGTGGAAGTCCAAGAGGACGTACAGTAGCGTAGCATGACGTATGCGTGGAAGTCCAAGAGAACGTACAGTAGCGTAGAATGACGTATGCGTGGAAGTCCAAGAGAACATGCAGTAGCGTAGCATGACGTATGTGTGAAAGAGCCAGTGACGCTATTATCTCACCCCACCCCACCCAACGTCACCCATGAATACATTCCCCAACCGACAGCCACAGCGTGTGCAAGTTCACATGAACATCAGTACATGCCCCACTCCACCCCACCCTAAGCCGTCACTGTGTAAGGCATGATGCTAAGGAGAGAACGCTCTCCGGGCAATGGTAAATTTCGCCGCTCCTCGGGCCATGGTAAATTGGGTAAATCGGTAAAGCGGTAAATTTTGCTGTGCCCGGGCAAAGGTAAATTCGGTAAACCGGTAAATCTGTAAATTTTAATCTTGTTTTATCATGATACAACTTTACGAATTTACCGTTTTACGGTTTTACCGCCTCTTCCTCCTCACGCTCCAGTACATTGATACATTACGCCTTTACGCATTTACCATTTTACGGCTTTACCGTCTTCTCCTGTTCACGCTGGACCAAAAAACATAAATTTACCACTTTACGGGTTTTACTTTGGTTTCCTTCGCTTCCACACCTCCTTTACAGTTTTACGCTTTTACGGCTTTACTGCCTTTTCCTGCCCACGCTTTGCACACAGAACATGAATTTACCAATTTGCGGCTTGACTTCGGTTTCATGCGGTAAATTTGGTAAATCGGTAAACTGGTAAATTTCACCGCTCTTCAGGCCATGGTAAATTAGGTAAATAGGTAAAGTGGTAAATTTTGCTGTGTCCGGGCAAAAAGGTAAATTCGGTAAATCGGTAAATCTGTAAATTTGAATCAAGTTGTACCAATGTACCAAATTTACTAATTTACGGTTTTACGGTAAAATTTGTTTACGGTAAATTTTGCAAAATCACCAAATTTACGGTTTTACGCTCCGAAAGCGGCACGCTCAGATCGTAAATTTACGAATTTGCCGTTTTACGGGCCGTGCCTTGGCAAAAGACGTGCCTTAGACACCACAGTTGCCCCACCCCACCCGCCACCCGCCACCCCACCCCACCCCATCAATTAGTAGCAGAGCAGATCCAACTCTATAGCTGCGGATAGATTTTGAACGGTTTTAAGTTTGAAGGAGGCATGCGCGCACTCAGTTCATGTCCATCCCAGGGGCTAGCTTTTCAACCGGATGTTACGTTCCGATATTTTTTTTTGCAAGAGTAGAAAATAGTCAAGGGCTTGATTATGGCTGAGCATTGCATTTGTTTTTTGCCAATGGTTCCGTTTCCCTTCGCTGGCAATGCCATGGCAAGGCCCTGGGCCACCAGAAGTGGCTTCAAGCCCAGTGCCTTGCCATGCAATTTTGGTGCGCATGTTTTGAGCCGAACTCACAGGCATCCGCCATATCTTTCTGTACAACTGGGCCCATTGATGGTGGACTGTTCCTGGCAAGTCGCCCAAGTTGGATTCAAAAAATCTTTGGGGAAAGTGCTGAGAGCTCAGCCAGTAAAAATGGCAGCGTTGTTCTCTTATGTTTCTTTAGGTATGCCAGGCGACTGAGTGTAAGTACTTGGTACTACTTAGTACCAATATATAGATTCTTTGAGAAGGTTGTGTCTTTGAGTGCCTTTCAATAGGTTCTTGACACCCGACCCATGCAGACTTGAGGCTCCTGGGCAGTCTGTGGAGGTACGAGTGGATACGAATGATTCAGCTCCATCCAATTTGCCCAGGCATCCTGAGGACTGGGCCAGTCGAACAGTGTTTCTGTATGTGGTTCCCCCGGCAGAATCTGCGCCGCATGTCCAATACCAAGACAAACTGACCGGTCTCCAAGTCAAAAAGAATCAGGTACAATCGAATGCCAATGTTATAGATGTTCTTGGTTTCAGATCCGAGCTAAGCACTTCATCAGACATTTGTCAAGTCGCGAATTCAGGATTTACCTGGACAGCCTGATGTACCAGAAAGATAAATTCTTTGTCACATGCGCCTTGCTGCATTGAATCCAACCTTGAACAGTGTTTTGGCAATTCTTGATGGCAGCTAGCAGATCTAGCGACCACAAGGTAGATATATATGTGTTTTGATTTTTGAAATGGATCCATCATGTTGAATGGGTCGTTGTGACCGGTCTCTTATCGTGTTGCCATGCCACCTGAGGTTGGAATGCCTTCCCGGCACCAAATCAACCGGCGCGACTCTTTGGTTTCTGCCGCCTCGGTTTGTTTCACTGGCACATGGGGATGTGCGACGCTCTTGCTCTGGCTAGGCAAAAAACTTCTACCGATGTTGTGTGCCAAGCTGTTTGCCAAGCTGTTCGCCCTGTTAAAAGACAGTCGTAACTCCCTTGGGCTTCAATCAAGCTGGGAAGCTGTGAATCAGCGGCGCCAGCAAAGCAGCAGCATCGACAGGTGGAAAGACGGGTCCAGGAAGTGGGCGTTGAAATCACACAAGACCACCACATGTTTGCACACATGCGTGCACATATTTGATGTATATTTGATGTACCTATCTAGATATATTTTTTTATGTTAATACCAGTAGTGCCCGCACGAGGCGGGGTGGAAGGTGCATTAGGGATATACTATAAGACCTTTCTCATTTGTAGAACTTGCATGCGCCGTGCGCCAGCCAGGCCTGTGCGTGCGTGCTTTGTGCGAAGCTGTTGCAGTGTTGTTGTTGTCCAAGAACATCACGTGCGCGCGACCCCGGTGCAATGCAACGCCAAGCGAAGACTTTCTCCACACTTCACACTGTACTCTTCACACCCCGCGCTTCGCACTGCACACTTGCACTTCACACTCCGCACTTCATCTCATCTCAAATCATGCGAGCTCTTCTCACCTCATCGCAGCTCCTCTTACTCATCCCATCTCTTCTCACATGTCATCTAAGTAAGCTCTTCTCAACTGTTTTCATCTCATCCGAGCACTGATCAACCTTTCTCATCTCCTTGAAATTCGTCTCAACTCATCTCAGCTGTTCTGCACGCCAGAAATCTCTTAGTGTCAGAGAGAAGTCTCTTGCACAAAAAAACGATTGGGCGCAGAAACTTTTGCACACAGAAGCTTGAGACACAGATGCATTTACACAAAAAGCCTTTACAAAATACTTTGTACTACAAAAAGCTTGCACAAAGCACTTCCCCCCAGTACTACTTTGTACTACCAACCTTGCACAAAGCACTTCCCAGTACTACTTTGTACTACGAAGCTTGCACAAAGCACTTGCCAGTACTACTTTGTACTACAAAGCTTGCAAAAAGTACTTCCCAGTACTACTTTGTACTACACAGCTTGCACAAAGCACTTCCCAGTACTACTTTGTACTACAAAGCTTACACGCAGCTCTTCCCAGTACTTTTTGTACTACAAAGCTTGCACAAAGCATGTCCCAGTACTACTTTGTACTACAAAGCTTGCACAAAGCACTTCCCAGTACTACTTTGTACCACAAAGCTTGCACAGAGTACTTCCCAGTACTACTTTGTACTACAAAGCTTGCACAAAGCACTTCCCAATATTACTTTGTACTGCAAAGCTTGCACACAGCTCTTCCCAGTACTACTTTGTACTACAAAGCTTGCAGAAAGCACTTGCCAGTACTACTTTGTACTACAAGACTTGCACAAAGCACTTCCCAGTACTACTTTGTACTGCAGACCTTGCACAAACTACTTCCCAGTACTACTGTGTACTACAAAGCTTGCAAAAGACACTTCCCAGTACTACTTTGTACCACAAAGCTTGCACAAACTACTTCCCAGTACTAACTGTGTACTACAAAGCTTGCAAAAAGTAATTCCCAGTGCTACTTTGTACGACCAAGCTTGCACAAAGCACTTGCCACTACTACTTTGTACTACAAAGCTTGCAAAAAGTACTTCCCAGTACTACTTTGTACTACACAGCTTGCACAAAGCACTTCCCAGTACTACTTTGTACTACAAAGCTTGCACAAAGCACTTCCCAGTACTACTTTGTACTGCAAAGCTTGCACACAGCTCTTCCCAGTACTACTTTGTACTACAAAGCTTGCACAAAGCATGTCCCAGAACTACTTTGTACTACAAAGCTTGCACAAAGCACTTCCCAGTACTACTGAAATTACTACTGTGTACTACAAAGCTTGCAAAATGTACTTCCCAGTACTACTTTGCACTACAAAGCTTGCACAAAGCACTTCCCAGTACTACTTTGTACTACAAAGCTTGCACGCAGCTCTTCCCAGTACTACTTTGTACTACAAAGCTTGCACAAAGCATGTCCCAGAACTACTTTGTACTACAAAGCTTGCACAAAGCACTTCCCAGTACTACTTTGTATTACAAAGCTTGCGCAAAGCAGGTTCGAGTACTGCTTTGTAGTACAAACCTTGCACAAAGTCTTTCCCAGTACTACTTTGGCACTTCCCAGTACTACTTTGTACTACCAACCTTGCACAAAGCACTTCCCAGTACTACTTTGTACTACAAAGCTTGCAAAAAGTACTTCCCAGTACTACTTTGTACTACACAGCTTGCACAAAGCACTTCCCAGTACTACTTTGTACTACAAAGCTTGCACAAAGCACTTCCCAGTACTACTTTGTACTGCAAAGCTTGCACACAGCTCTTCCCAGTACTACTTTGTACTACAAAGCTTGCACAAAGCATGTCCCAGAACTACTTTGTACTACAAAGCTTGCACAAAGCACTTCCCAGTACTACTGAAATTACTACTGTGTACTACAAAGCTTGCAAAATGTACTTCCCAGTACTACTTTGCACTACAAAGCTTGCACAAAGCACTTCCCAGTACTACTTTGTACTACAAAGCTTGCACACAGCTCTTCCCAGTACTACTTTGTACTACAAAGCTTGCACAAAGCATGTCCCAGAACTACTTTGTACTACAAAGCTTGCACAAAGCACTTCCCAGTACTACTTTGTATTACAAAGCTTGCGCAAAGCAGGTTCGAGTACTGCTTTGTAGTACAAACCTTGCACAAAGTCTTTCCCAGTACTACTTTGGCACTTCCCAGTACTACTTTGTACTACCAACCTTGCACAAAGCACTTCCCAGTACTACTTTGTACTACAAAGCTTGCACAGAGTACTTCCCAGTACTTCTTTGTACTACAAATCTTGCACAAAGCACTTCCCAGTACTACTTTGTACTACAAAGCTTGCTCAAAGAAAGCTTTTTCACACAGCAACTTCTTTCGCAGAGAAGCTTTTACGAACAGCAAGCTTTTTAAACAGAGAAGCTTTTACACACAGAAGCTTTTACACACAACAAGCTTTTACACAGAGAAGCTTTTACACACAGCAAGCTTTTACACACAGCAAGCGTTTACACACAGGACGCTTTTACACAGAGTGCTTTTACACATGGCAAGCGTAGCCATTGCAATGCGATCTGCAGACACTGAATTGCGAAACACAATAGAACTACGCGCAACGGTGTCGGAAATTGCAGCTCCAAAACGTAATTTGACGCCAAATCGAATGAAGCACTTTTTAAAAGGAATTTATCAAGGAAAATCACCAGCGCCAAAATTGAGAAAATCTGTTGACAAATCACTGTCGCAGCCTTGTTGCAGCCACCCCAATACTATTTACGAGATCCAGCTGCAAAACACAATAGTAGTATTGCGCATGCAGCCGCGGCATCAAGCAACCTTGACGCAGCCACTGCAATGCGATCTGCAAACGCTGAATTGCGAAACACAATAGAACTACGCGCAACGGCGTCGGAAATTGCAGCTCCAAAACGAAATTCGACGCCAAAGCGAAAAAAAGACGATTTCGAAGCACTTTTGAAAAGGAATTGTAAAATATTGGTAGCGCCAAAATTGAAAAAATCTGCTGACAAATCACTGTCGCAGCCTTGATGCAGCCACTCCAATACGATTTACGATGTCCAGCTGCAAAAGAGAATAGTATTACGCATGCAGCCGCGGCGCCAAGCAACCTTGACGCAGCCATTACAATGCGTTTTGCAGCATCACGTCGCAAACCTGCACGTATCTACGCACATGGCAACACCAGATTACAACAATCATGCAGCCATTCCAATGCGATCTGCAACCACAGATTCAAGAAACGAATAGAACTACGCACACAGGAACAACTACTTGGATGGGCGGCGTGGTTGTTAAGTGGTTGGGCTGGTTGGTGGAGTTTTATTTCTCCGCCAACCATGGTTACAATTCCACCAAGTATAGCAATAAATCTTCCATCTATTTGGCCTACTTGATAACTACTTCCTGTTTCTGGCATCTACTTATCTATTGTGCCATGTAGTTGGCACAGTTAAAAGCACATAGTCATGTTATGTTGATGTGAGTTGTGCTACATATGCAAATGATTTACAATTAGAATTTATGTAGGCCTTGGCCTACTTAACAAAAATGATTTGGCCTACTTGGTAAGTATGCCGCGGCCTACTTAACAAGTAGGCCCCGGCATACTTATAAGTACGCCCCAGCATACTTATTAAGTACGCCAAGTGCAGCTATATGGTAGTTTTTTGGTGCCAACATATATTGTTTTTCTGTAAGTGTTTATTTTGATTTGTGTTTTTTGGCTAGTGTCTTTTAAAAAATATATTTGCGATATGTCGAAAAAATCCATTCTTCAACATTTGAGATGCTGATTTCCACATCCGTTTCCCCATGTTTTTTTGTATGGTGTTTCTTTTGACGCAATCGTCAGTGGCAAAAGAAAAGAAAAACGAATGTTAGACAAACAGTCTTTACTTGAGGTAATTTTTTGTTTTCCAATTTTGGTTTCCAGTTTGTTAAAGTAGATTTATGTATCTAAGTTTTTTCAAGGTTGATATTCAGGTACCTACAGATTGCTTAGATCATGTGAGCGCATTTGACATCTTCAGCACTGCGTTGCTGAACTTCAATTTTGGGCATTTTTCAGATTGGTGCCCTTTCAAAAATATATTAGCTCGGTCAAACATGCAGATGAAAATTAGATAA